GGTGTGCTGTGCCAGAGCGGGACAACTTTGCCCCTGTGCCAGTACGACAGGTTTGTGCCAGTACGAAAAGTTTTGTGCCAGACCCCGGACTTTTGATAACTACTGACATTTCACTCTAACCCTTTTCGTTGATGCCAATGATTGTCTATCAACTCATTGAATCCTTTAATTAACTGAAAATGATTACAATTGCAATTGTGTTTTAAACTAAAACAAGTTAACATTCAAATTGACTTTTACCAATTTTTTTTTGCTTCTTTACATTTGGGTTTTGGGTTTCACTTTGATTTCAACTATTAAGACTAATTTTATTCATTGGGAAACGACTGTTGATTCAATCTGTCATCTTAATATGCTAATGGTGATTAAATTGAGTCAACTTTGCTGATGAATGTAAAAACAATTAAGTAAATTTGATTGAAAAGGTTCATGTTTTGAATTGAAATTAATTTTACTCGTTTCTTTAGTAAATTTAATCAGAAACCTTTCTTTTCGTACTTTTGCCATTCAAAAAGCATAACCAGATTTTTGTTTTGTAAAGGCAAAAATTATCTCAGTTATCAAGTATGGAAACAAAGAATCGAGAATAAGATAATGTTGATCTTATGGGAAGAAAGAAGACTGAAAATTCTGGTTTTATGATAATTGGAGGGAAAAGAATCTGTTTAACAGTATAAAAGAAACAACAATTTAAAGTAAATCATATTCCTTTGGTAAAGTAAATTTTGAAAAAGGAAATTTAGATTTACATAGAAACCTTATTAAACTTGATAATCATCATTTTCATTTCATCTTCATCTTGCTCTTTCCCATTATAATAGTAATCTTCATCATCTTCTTGCCAATCATCATAATTTTGGTACATTTCAGGTTGAATTGAACATAACAAAAATGTATAAATCAAGTAGAATCACAATGTTTTTACTTTCATCTTTTTTGTTACCTTCATTAGCTTGGGTTTACCAGCTTACATTTCACTTGTAATTATGTTGTGAGACTTTAACTGCAATTTATTAAATCAATCAAATGAGCAAGTAACAACTGTACCAGAGTAACAATCAAGTGTGTAATGAGATTGAATAATGTTAACCATTACTTCAAGTTTCCCTTTTCACCTAAATTTGAATAAAACTGTACAATGTAATAATATTATGTATAACACCCTTCAAGTTTATCAATAACATTACCTGAAAGCTTGGTGTAAACTTGATTGTTTATTGCGCTTTGTTTCAGTCTCAATTAATCTGTTGAATTGATATAAGAGAAGACATTTGATTGTGGAAATTGAAATTTTCATGTTTAATTTACTTTTGATAAACATTGGCTTTTAATTTTATTCCAATTTATCCTTGTTGGTTAATTGAATATTTTACTTTGATCCTCATCTGGCAACTGCATTTGATTTGAATTTACCTTCTGTTTCCTCATCTTATTTGAATCAATTGTACTCGATGGTTTATTTTGATTAGCTTTAGTCAGCTTCATCATGATGATAATAGTAGTAATAAAAATAATCATTTCTTAAAAAATTTCTCCCTTCACCATTACATTGAAGGTTGGCTGAACTTGAAAAAGATTTGGAAGTTTGTTTGTGTAAATTTGGTGAAGCATAGTTTTTTGTTTGTCAAACGATTGCAAGATTCGAGTTTCTCTCTTCTTCTTCTTTTTAAATCAATGGAATGATGATGATGGTTGTAGTGATGATGATGATTATGGTAGTGGTGGTGTGGAAATGAAGATAAAAATCAATTTTGCAAGCTTGAAAATGATGGTTCTATCTTATGCTTGTTGTAAGCAAATTGAAAATGTAATAAAATGTTATTACTTTTAATAAGATTGTAACATTTTCAACGGCAAACAATCTTGGGTAATGAACAATCAGTAAACAAGATGAAAGGCTTTAATATGTATCATATTATATACGATGATAACGATTAAGTTGCTGATGGATACTGTATGCTATGTTTCACTAAATCTTAATTTACTTGCTTTTTTTGTTTGCTAACTGAACCATCATTTTATTCATGTACTGATAACAGTGTTGTACTGTTGTAGGTGAAAACAATTGTTTTAATTGTTTTTTCATGGTTGATTCATACTGTAGATCAGTTAGATGTCTGCTGAAGAAATGTGTTGCTTTGAAAAATCCAAATGATTGAGTCCGAGTAAACTTTGGGAAACATTGCTTAGTACAAGTTATTGTTGATTGTGTGCATTAAAACTCATCATCTTTACCATCCATCATCTATTGTAGTCATCTTCGTAATCCAGTTAGTAGCTGATCATGCAAGAGACTTCAAGAAAACGTTTGGTGGGTGGGCTTGGGAACAATAATAACAGGCATGCGGAATAATCTGGATAAGAAATGAAATGAAAACAATTGATAAGAGATTTTAATAAAAAGGATAAATCCATTCTGTGAAGGGTTGCAGATAAAAAGAGTGAAAAATATTACCATGTAAAGCTTGATGCTGTTTCATTCAGTCAGCTTTTCCTATTTTTGCGTTGTAACTTTTCATGATGATAATGTTGTTTTGTTGTTCTTGTTGGTGTATAAATGTTGCTGTTGTTGTTGTTACTTTGTTGAGGCACCAAAAAGATATTAATGATGGTGAAAACAATGGAATTAAATTAATGTTGCTACGATATTAAAAATAGAGGGAAAGAAAGGAGAAAGATGATGATGATGGTGATGAGAAATATCCTTCTTTTGTTCTTGGTTAAATGTTAAGATGAATGTTCAGATATATCCGATTGTTACAAGCATAACGAGACAAGGGAAAGCAAAATGAGGAAGAGACAATTTCTTAGCACAATCAATCCCAGTTTGAGTTAAACTCTTAAAGATATTTTTCTTTATCATCAGCCCAAATTCACGCCTCCATCATTTTTTGTTCAATTTTCCCTGCTTTCTCCAACATTTGGCTTGACTATTTTAATCTTTATCTTTTCCTTTTGACCTTACCAGCCATTTTAATCGATAACTTGTGAGTTTATAACAACATTGATTCAAGGGAAACAAGAAACTTTCAATACCCTTAAGCCATAAATCATTAGACAATACATGATGGTTTGAAAAGAATCAGTAAAACCAGATCTTGTTCCAGCTTGTTTTGGCTTGTTTAACGGGCACATTTTGGTTTTGTATCCAAGCTATGTTGATAAAACACATGTCATGTTTAGAAACAATCAGCAACACAATTATAGAGTTATAGAATTAAATAAATAGTCATGTAAAAGGTCAACAAACTTGACCAAAAGCAAATAGCATTTACTAAAAAAAAAACAATACTTACCTAATAAATAAATGGAAAGTCCAGCTAAAAAAGTAAAATAAACCTTAAGACGCAATTAAGTTTACACAGCTGAATGGGTTAATGAAACGACCGTTTGGCAACATCTTTAAATTATTGTAATAGTTAATGTACATTACAATAGATGGCTTTAGATTGTTTTCATTTTCAATTGGCCCTTCAGTTTGGCTAATTGTTTACTTACTCTTGAAAGTGTTATTTTTATTTTGCTTGTTCATCCAATTGATTATAATGTATTGTTATTTTAATTGTTAATTATAGGGGATACGTTATGGTGTAGCTCCAATTGGTTCACTTCGGTGGTCATCAACTCAACCCATTTGGGTTGATTCAGCTTATTGTGATGCAAAGAGTCAAAAAAGAGCAACCAAATTTGGTCCTTCTTGCTTTCAAATTAACCCTTATACCAAAAAATATCAAGGATCAGAAGATTGTCTTTTTTTGAATGTTTGGACACCAACATTAAATGACTCGGTAAGTATATTATAATACTTTAATACCTTTTCTCTCAATTAAAACAAATTGAACATATTACTTTTTTTCCCAGCCATTTACCATCAGTGAATAATTAAATTTTTTGGTTTTGTTAATCGATAAATGATCAATTAGACTAGAGAATGAGATTTATTGTTGTATGATGATTAAGAAGATGGTTGGATTACCAAAAGTGCAACAAAAATCAAACATTTAATCAGGCGAAATTTTCATTACTCTAATTGACGTTCAATTTGCTTTGTTACCATTTTTGCTATTGTAATAACCATTAATCAACTTAAGAAACAAAAACAAGATGAAAAAGAGGAACAGAAAAGACTTAGAGTCATTAAAAATATCAATAAACTTACAATTTAACGAGAGAATCAGTTAATTAAAATGTCAAATGTAAATGAATTAATGTTTCGTCTTTCCTTTTTTTCTCCTACTTATATCAATGTTTGTCTGATGTTACTTTGAATAAATTGTTACAAAAGTAACATTCTTATAGCAAATGTTTAATCTTGCAAAATGGATTATCGAATGAACTGAATAGTATTAGAGAGAAGGGCAAAGAGAAGGTAATTGTTTCTCTTGTTTCTTGTGATAATGAGAAAACATTTTGTTCCATCTTCCATGTGAAATTTAATTTGCTTGCTCATTCAAGTTAATGTTGACATTGACTATTAAAGGAACGGTGAAGATGAGAGTGGAAAAGGTAAAAATACAAATAAATGATGAACAATATTATGTTAATGTTACTTAAATACTCTTTAAGGTTGACTTGATCATCTTTTTGCCTTGAGTTTACCTTCAGGTGAGTTTTTACCTGAGAATAAAATTGGTAATAACATTGTTATTGAACAACGTTTTGCGATTATTAGTTGGATCATTATTGGGTCTTTATCCTCTCTTTTTTTATGGTTATCTGAGCATTCAGGAGACACATGATGATAATAGCTAAAGTAGTTTTGATAGTAGTATTAGCAGTAGTAAAAGTAAGTTTCATTCAATTGTATTCTGAATCAATTGTGGCATGAAAATCATTTGACAAAATAATTTATCAAATGAATTCAAGTGAATATAATGCGACTCTCAAAGATGAATTATCATGAAACTACACTGCTCCTTAATCATAATCTGCTTGCTTGTTGATTATTCACCAAAGATTTTGGTTAACCAGAAAGATCTGCAAAGATTATACTCAAGTTGAGTAAAACACATTTGAGCGAAAAAGATTTAAACGTTTCCACGAAAAAGTTAACCAACATCGTCCATATCAGCATTAGCTCTTGGATCTTATTCGAGCTGTTCTTTGATCGTCATTAGATGCTAAAGAATGATAAAAATTATTAAAAGTAATTCTATTAAAAAACGAATAAGATATTCGGAATCAGCATGTAAAGTTACCTTTAAAATATTTGTTCATGAGGATTGTTAAAGAGGCGATTTTCCCGATTCATTTGCAGATCCTCTTTATTTAGATGTTTAAAATGTTTACAGCAGCACTGCTGTTGTAGATGATTATTGATCGTAACCTAGAGTTATCTTTGCATGTTGTGTGATATGAAGCTTTACAGTCGATGTTTGCAACAAATTTCAATATAATTTGTGTTGATCATTTTGTTTGCAGCTAAGATTCAGTGGAAATATTAACAAGAACCAAGAGTATTCACTGTAATTTCAGCAAGTAGATGAAGTAAGTTTGAATCTCCCAGCATGTTAATCTAATTTATTTTGATTCCTTTTTCCTTCCGTGTAAGACTTGTACAAGGTAAATCTAAAAGAAAGAAAATAAAGAAGTGGTTAAACTGTCAAAATCATTTTATTCAGTAGTGAATGATGTAAGGTTAAATACTTACTTACTCGAATAAATTGTCTTTCCATACAAATATAAAATACTTGTCAAAAAATATGAACGCTATTTTGTTGGTTGAGTTTAAAACAGATTGATTGATTTGATTTGCATTCTCTTAGAGTCAACAAACAACGATTATTTTGATTAGGGAATGGAATTTGATTAATCCGTAAGAGAATGGAAACAAATCCAAGATTAATGCATCTAACTAGGGAAGGTTAAGGTTTACTCAAGTTTTAAGTTGCTTTTGAAGATTGGTGTGTTTAAGTTGATCCATACAAGCTTACAACTTAACGAAATATAACTGTAACATGTTTAAGAATGAAAACTACGAAATCGACGAAATAAGAATTTCCAGCTTGTTTCAAGAAGTTAAAGTAAAGATTGGAAAAGATGAAAAGGCAAAAGAAGACGAAGAAAATTAAAGACAAAATGAGAACTTTTTTCCTTTTTTTTTCTCAGGTATTAATCCAATGATGGATAGGGTAAAACAACTTTTTTCATCAACTGCGAAAAACTTGAACAAGATTCTTCAAGAATTGGTAGTAATATGAAAAAATGAGAGAATAGCTTTGTTATCCATAGAAAGCATATGATGATTATGATCATCATGAGGATAGAGATAAAGATGGAAGAATTTGATTCTCCTTGAATTACTGTATCGGCAGAAACAAAAAATATTGCCCAATATTAGCCTTGTGTAACAAAGATGAATGTTTTCTATATGAATCAACCCAGGCTTGGAAAAGAATGATGATGAAGGAACTGTCCATTTTTTAAGGGTGAATCTTTCTGGGCTAAGAAGAAAAGGATAAATATAATAAATAAAAAACATTAGTGAAGATGTTGAAGAAAGGAAAGAGTGAAAAAAGCAGAGAAAGTTACAGGCACAAAAGATGACTTCACAATAACACAAAAAATGGTGAAAGTGTAAACTGTAAACTGCTGTACGATAGACCAACAAAGTTGACGATTTTTTATAATCAATCCATTGAAGATCAAAATAGTTGAAAATGGTTAAAACTTACCTTGAGGTTGAATCCTTTGCCACTTTCAATTCACTTGACGTATTAAGATCATGGAAAGATAAGGTGAGGTTTTAGATGGAGGCATTTTGAAGGTACTCACTAAAAAGACAAAAATTACCAAAACACCAAAATATACCAAAATTAACCAAAATTAACCAAAATTTAACAAAAATAACCAAAATGAAATTAAAGCAGTAATTATGCATGTATTATGATTTTTGTTAAAGATAATTTAAAAATATGAGTAATTATTATATTAAATTAACTTGGCAATACAAATTGTCATTGGTATCGCTTTCAATTCATGATTATACTTAAAAACCAAATCAAAGTTTGCGCATGCGTTAAAGCAAATTTCAAACGCACTCTGCTTTGAGGGACCATATCGTAATTTCCACCGAGATTTCCACCGAGTTATACATAGGTTTATATGTATCTTTAATACAGTTATTATTTAAATTGTGATTGATTAATATTTATGTTATTGTTTTGTTAATGTTCAAATAATTTATAAAGTTCTTAACTTATTAATGGCTTTATTGAACAAATCAGTATTTGAACCACCACATGATGTTATAATTGGCTTTATTAAAGCAAATTACGACAATATTCCAACTCGACTTCAAAGTGTGCCAATATCGAATGGAATATACATCTATCGCAAGTCGAATAACAAAGATATCAACGTTGACGGTTTTCGATGGCATCAATCCAGCAAATATGAAAATAAGGCTTCTGGATTAACTATTACTCGTTTTTACGTGAATCAAAAGGGTGAAAAAGAAAAAAAAGCTAAATTTAAAAAAGCCAAATTTGAATTGGATGGTTGTGATCAAGGCTTGCTTTATTATAGTGGTGATTGTGGTTCCATAGAACCTGAGCCCCATGGCAATTCTAAAACAAACAAGCCTTATTTTCGTACAATTCCATCTACAATCAACACAATCAAGTCGCATCAATTCACAAAGAGTGTTCCAAAGGATTACAATAATCTTACAAAGGAATTGAAAAGCCATAATCAAGCTGCTAAAAGTGAGGATGAAAAGGCGTTCATAGACAAACATGTCGTACCTCGCAATCCTAAGCAAGTCGAGAATGTGAAACAGAAATTAATAAGAGAAAAAGACTTACATCACGATGAGCTGTTCTCAATTTACTTGATTGCCAAAAGTCAATTAGCTGAAACTATTCTCTATATACAAATTATACCAGAGGTTATTATTATTTGTGCCTTACCAGCAGCAATTAAACTGGCCAATAGATTACTTACATCTACAGTACCAGATCTTATTAATAAGCAATGTTTGACATATGATACTACGTTCAACCTTTGTGATTTGTATGTTTCATTCATCGTGATGAGGAATACTGAGATAGTTGACAATCCTATTTTTCCAGTTTTAATGATTTATCACTCTTCTAAAAGCGCAAAAATACATGAAATTCTCTGGAAAGAATATGCAATCAATCTCTTGAAACTTCCTGCAAACATTCCGATTATTGTTGACCGTGAGAAATCTATAACAAAAGCTTTAATAGAGAGTGGCCTTACTGAAAATTTGGTTTATTGCAAGCTTCACCTCCAAAGAGATATTAAATTTTGGTGCATAGATAAGCTGTTACCACCGAAAAATTACGCCATTTACAACGATATGGTGGATAAACTTGTTTTAGCAGAGAATGAAACGGAATTTCATTTACTCAATAACAAGTTCAAGACGCAAATGTCTCAAGCATTCCGTACTTATTATGAGCGTGATATCGAAAATGATTTAAAGAATTGTCTTTGCAAATTTTCCCTCAAAAGATTCACTGTGTTCCAGGAAGGAGATTACCCGACGACTAATATAGCTGAAGCTTTTAATTCAGTGGTTAAAAATTATCAAGAAAATAAGGATGCTCGGATTGATATACTCTTGCTCAGCATGCTTGAATTGCAATGTTCCATATTGAGTGAATTTAACCGCGCTCTTAATAATTGTGGTAAATTTACAATCAAGGCAAACCTCAAAGACGATTTGCAGAGAATTGATATTGACTGTGCTTTAGAATTTAAATCGAGCCAAGAGATAATTGCATTGATAAAAGAGTCATCCATAAAGGAGGAAAGTTCGCGAAATGCAGCTGATTATATGGCAGACATGGTGATCAATAACCGTTTAGTTGCATTCGAGCCACACAATATGGTTTATACGGTTAAGTGTCCTTTTTCAGGAGTTGTTCACAGCGTATCAATAAAGGATAAAGATAAAAGGTGCACCTGTCCCGCTAAAAAATCCTGTTTCCATATAAAAGCTGTTATGAAAATAACTGGTCATGACAAAAATAAAGACGTCCGGAATTTCAAACTAACCAGTGTTGATAAGAACCTCAAGGAATTTAAAGCAGGCCGCAAACAAAAGAAAACAGTGAAAATTATCTACCAGCCAGCTGATGATTCTCTCATTATGCAGAATCCTGATAAACCTTTGATAAAAGTTGAGCCAACTGATGATGAGATTAAAAATGACAAAACTAATACAAATTCTCTCATCGATATTGAACTTTTATCAGAGGAAGTGAGCGCGATTGAACAGGATCAATGGGTGCATGAAATTATCAGATCAATACCTACTAACTACAAAGTTCCTGTCACAAAATTATCGTCATTGGCATGTCTGAGGTCCGATACATGGCTTTCTGATAATGTAATGAATGATTTTTGCAATCACACGATTATCACAGCTAATCTCGATTCGAAAATTCTCTTGATTCCAAGTTATATATTTCAATGCTGTAGCGCGAGGCTATCAAAAGGAATTGAAGCGGATGCTAAGACGCAAGAAGTAGCTTTTCTCAATCAACATAGAGCTGTCAATAAAGAGATATTCGTTGCTGTTATAAATACAGACCATGAAAAGGGCTCACATTGGCTGATTGGCATCAGCATCTTTAAAACGAAGACAATCATATTAATTGATTCAATGCATGGCGGAACTATTGGTCTCATGTCCAAGCTATTCGAGATAGTTAAATTAAGTTTTAACTTGGCTGAGTCCAAAGTCAATATTGATGAATGGAATTTCGTTGTTGCGACTGATGTTATAGAGCAGCACGATTCGACCGAATGTGGTGTATATGCATGTATGGCTGTTTTAGCATTAGTCAATGAAAGGAAATTCATTCATTCACCAATAGACGGTCGCAATCTCATAAAATACACACTCACAAGAGCTAAAACACCCAAAAGTCCGAAAAAACCAGCTAAAATTTCTAAAATATTTCCAGAAATATATAATGGAAATCAAACAAATAATTCTAAAATTTCAATCAAGCGTGATGAAGTAAATGAGATAATAGTAAAGGAAATAAGAGCAGCCAAGCAGATAAGCCGATGTTACAGTGATGTTTGTTATGATGAGGAAGATGATAAAACCAAAATAGATCTTTGCATCATATGTCGTTTATGGTACCACAGGTTATGCCATAGACAATATGTAGCCACCTACTTCAAGTGTGCCAAATGCTTAAAATTATTACCCCTCAAAAATTAAGAAAGTTTATTTTTATTCTATCAAAAAAAAATTGTTTGAATTTATTTGTATTACAAAAATTTTATTAATCATAAAAAACTTGAACTATATCCTTGGTTGCCTTCTTGCTAACATCAGGTTCTGCGGCAATCCGTTCTTTGCATATGTACTTTTTGTCTCCTTTTCTTCCATTTATATGGCGTCTGGCTGTATCAGCTCGCACACTTATAACGTTATCACAATATGGACATCCATATTTGAAATCGGTTCCATTTCTTTTTCGTTCTGCTGCTTCTTGGGCCAACTCGCCGATAGTTTTTATCTTTGGATCCCTTGGTGTTTCTTCCAAAGTAACACCCTCTGTGCAGACATAATCTAGAGGAATGTAAACTGGGTCGTAGTTAACCAAAGCGTGAGGTTTACCATCGATTTTGGAATATTTCTTTATGTTTCCAGTGTAGTCAATACCATCTGTATTTATTGTTTGCTATTAAGAGAAATCAAAATTTTAATAAAAATGGAAACAATATCACAATTGCTACCTACCTTGATTGTTTTACGCACTAAATCACTCATTTTCAATACAAAATATGACAAGAAAAATAAACAAAAATAATGGTGAAATTCACTGAAAATAACAATGGTCAAGTGTTAAGGTCGAAGGTCCAGGTTGAAATGCTCTTTTTCAAGCAGTTTTAAAGTGTTTAAATTCATCTCTTTCCTTTTTCTCTGTCTTTTTTTGTCGCAAAAGACAAAAATTCGCAAAACAAGATAATCATCTTAAGTTGTGCCTTGAGGCTAATCTGTTTATGAACAGAGGGAAAAATTGTCAAAACAAACGGAAAATTCATTTTTGGTTGATTTTGGTGAAATAGGGTGATTTTTGTTTATTTTGGTGCATTTTGGCTGATTTTGGTTAATTTTGGTATTTTTTGTCGTTTTGGTTAATTTTGTTTTTTTAGTGAGTACCCATTTTGAAGGCTGGAAGGCAAGGAAATCATCGTTTTTCAATTAAACACTTAAGTTGAACTGATAATGTCCAGTCGGTCTTTTAGTCTATAGCATCAGGAATAATAAATGGTTAGTAAGATAATAAAAACTACCGTTTATTATATGTTTATTAACCAAAGTAGATCAACATAATCAATATTATTCAAATGAACTGCATAAGTAAGCAAGCTTTAACCGCGAAATTTTCCTCTATTATTATGTAACACTAGATGGCGACTTGAATAGATTTGCATTCACTTGATTAATGTTAATGGCTTACAACTTTTTTTACTTGTCTTGTGTTAACCTTTAATTGACAGTGATTTGTGACAATATTTAGTTTTTAAACACCTTTTATAATGAATTTAATTTCCTTCTTTTGTTCTCCAGGCTAATTTGAATGTCATGGTCTGGATCCATGGAGGATTCCTGCAATTTGGAAGTGGTCATGATCCTGGGTTACGTCCTTCTGCACATCTAGCTGTTTCAATGAACACGGTTTTTGTCTCATTAAATTATCGTTTATATGCCTTAGGATTTTTGAATCTTGCTGATTTACCAAGTGTCAGAGCTAATGATTTAAAATCAATTACTGGCAACTATGGTTTATCTGATCAACTGGTTGCTCTTCAATGGATTCAACGTAATATTGCCAAATTTGGGGGATCACCTCAAAAGATAATTACCTTTGGTCCAGATGCTGGTGCTGCATCCATTTTGGCTCATCTTACCAACCCAAAGGCTTCTCAGTATATTTCCAAAGCATGGTTAATTGGTCCAACGTTGTTTCTCAATCGTACAGCTGACTCTTTAAACCACATTCAACATTTTGTGAATCGCACTGGATGTGAGAATATCGATTGCTTGAGAAACTTGTCTCCTGAAAAGATAACACAATGTTGGCTTGGAGATAATGACCCATCATTTAGGATTATTGATCAAAATGATTTACCTATCATAGGTATCTATCCTGAACAACTTATCCATGTTGATGGTAAGAGGAAAGCTTCTCATTTCCTATTTCATTTGAATAAATGTCCTCATCAAACTCCATGTTTAATGAGCGGAATCACACTCTTCCATTTCTTAAAATTCAATTGATTAGATGGCCATTTTGCTCAATTGTTATTCTCTTTTTTCCCAGTATCATTATTTTATTACTCTTGGTCGTGAAAAGATGGAAATAATAATAGGCTAAAGAGTGTCGTAATGATGGTTATTCTGGATAATATTAAAGGGATTTCTTCCCTGTAAATGATAAGAATCACTTGATTGCAACCTTTTCTTATCTCTTTTTTCCTTCCTTGGCTTACCTTTCTTTCATTTTGGATCATTTTTTCCTTCATCATTTTCTTTCTTGTTAGCAAAAACTCAGAGACTTTGAACTCTGGATTCGGAAGTGGTAAGATGACAATAGATAGCAATTGATTAGCTCTCGACAGTTTCCTGGATCCGTTTTTGCTGTAGATTGGATTAACGAAAAAAGGATGTTATTATCTTCCTCATTTTCTTCTCTCATCACTATGATTATTATCAACTAGAATCATTTCCATTATCTGTACAGGCAAAAAAGGAACCAGCATTAGATTACAAATTACCTCTGATTAACACTAATAATAGTTAATGAACACGATTTACTTTTTGGAAACTTGATGAAGAGAAATGTGATTCTGACATAATAATGGTGTAAATAATATTCATACTCGTAATTAATAATCATAATCAAACCTTTCTATTAATCGATTCTCCCCTTATTTTGTTTATTTATTTCAATTTAGGTTCATTAATTACGGACTGGTTACCTTTCAATAAGATGGAATCCATCAATCAAGTTCCCTTGTTGGTTGGAACTGCAGCTCAATCAATTGAACTCTGGCCTGGCATTGAACAACTACGTAATTGGACTTGGAATGAGTACAAGAAATATGTGACAACGAGCTTGGACAGTTTTGGTCCTAATTTAGCCGAATTAACATTACAACTTTATCCGATTCCCGAAAAATCAACACCAGAAAGTAACACAACCGAAAGTGAATTATACTTAGCGCAATACAATTCCAGCTATAATAATGATAGTAACACTATTAATAGCAATAATATCAACACTAATAATCTTAATATTAATAGTAATAACAATATTAACACTAGTAATGAGAATAATTTAACACCAGAATTATTATATGCAACAATGGTTTCTGATATTAGACAAAATTGTCCAGTAGATGCTGTTTTTGAGCAATTATCCAAAAAATGGAAGAATAATATTTATCGTTATATAAGTTCTGGTGAACCTTCGTGCCCTGTAAGTATCTCAGTTAATTTAATATCTTTTTTCAGTTTACTAATCAAATCTCTCAATCCGGTTACTATCCAATATAATTATCAATATAATCAAATATAGCAAAAAAAAGGTTCATTGATGGATTCAATTAGGTTCACTCTAATTGATTACAAGTAAAACTTTTGTTATCAAATTAGACATCATTAATTGAGTTATACTGTTAGGATTTTTTGTCTAATTTGGTTAATCATTATATAATTTGATGTATTGATAGTTCATTACTGGTTGTAATGATGATGTTAGGTTTTTGTGGCACCAATTTATCTCTATTGATGTTTAATTTTATCATTATTCGTCTTTACAGATTCGTGTTTATGAATATGAGAGTCAATTCAGTTTCCATTTATGGGATGCAATTGTATTCTTTGATACAATTAACCAATTCATTCATCATCCAAGCTCTGATGATCTTAATTATCGTGATATTGTTCAAGAAATGGTTAAAAATTTTGTTACAAATAACAGACAACTTCTCCCTAAACCTTATCCAGAATCAGTTTCTATCCTATCAGTAATTAATCAAACAACTGTACCATCTTATTCAATGGAAAGATGTAAATTCTGGAAAAAACAAGGATTGAATTCATATGTTTGGACTGGCTAATCATGAAATAATTTCAATCTTCACCATCGCCATTCATTTGTTTTTATTATGTTTAAATAATCTTTTCTGTTATGTTTCTAATTTTCATTTATTGTACAGTTGAAAAACTCTCGTACATTGTACATCAAATCATGTAACAATAAAAAGGAAACAAATTTTTGTAATATAATGATTAAAATAAACTCTTTCTCCATTTAATTTTACAATTTAACGTTACATTTATTATTGAATTTTTTCCTGGATGCTCCGAAAAAAACGATTTAAAGACTGAATTAGAATAAAATGGTTGACGAAAACAGAGAAACGTAGGTTTGATAGAACCAGAATAATCACCAAAATTATGATTTTGTACTTGCATAGTAACTTAGTTAAGCTAATTAAGACAAGAATTAGCTTTGTTGTTTTATGTTTGAGATGTGCTGTTGAAAGATTTGGAAAGACATCGTCCAAGAAGCTCTTTTAATTTTCCTTTAGTTCTAGCAATATTAACGTTATTAGAAGCAGCTTGTCCACTAACCAAAGCAATAAACAATTCATGCATGTATTCGGATATTTTTTGACATTCCTTGTTCACGTTTGTAAGCTTTTGAGCTAAAGCTGTTGAATAAATACAATTTGATTAAAGCAATCAACTAATTGATGGTTGTTAATAAAAAGACACAATCAACACAATTGTCACATTTATTCACAAATTGACACAAATGGGCAAAAACGGGAAAAAATGTATTTCTTTCCAATTTAGACTCTGTCGGTTTGTGTAAACATACAAGCTGAGTCCATTTGTGTGATTTGAAACCTCTCTAGTGAACAGTTTTCGAGAAAATCCAAGTCAAAGTTTAAACTTAAATCACCTTTTGTACAATTACGGAAGAGGATTTTCTCATGAAACTTAATTTCACTGGTATAACTTTTGTTGGTCAATCATAAAATGTACTTATTTTGGGAAATAGAACTTTTCTTTTTCTGCAAATTAGATTAGTTCGACTTATAGCTAAACCGATCGCTTTCTGCGATAGTAAGAGTTAGCGAGCTGAAACTTATTATGCGTCTGTAAATATTGTTACTTCATATCATGGATTGAATGCTTCCAACAATTTATCAACAGTTCTCTTGGTTTCGGCCATTGGCCTTAACACTTTGTGCCTCAATATTTCGATGATAGTAGCACCTACAGTTATTATTCTTTCGCCAATTTAATTCTTAGCTAATTAATAATCTAATTAATTTAATAACCTTCCATTAGCGCGCTTAGGTCTTGGTTTTTGGTTTGTAAATGTACAAGCAACATCTCGATTTTGCTCGTTGGTCTTAAAACTCTGAGCCTCGATATTTCGAGAAGAGTATCAACTATAGTCATTATTCTTTGACCAAACATTAGATTTTATAACGGGCTATAATATCTGGTAATATTAGATGATTCTAGATTCTGCAAAGTTGGTTATAATGGCATTGCATATTTATATTGCCAGATATGCTTCTTTATTTCCAAAGCAAATCTTATTTTATGTTTGGAGGATATGCATTGCACTATATAACTAATTATCTTTTGATTTTCTTGAAAATTCAGTCATATTATGTCATAGCCCATAATGAAATCTCATGTATCATCAAAGAATGGTGATTGTAGGTGAAGGCATTTTCGAAATATCGAGGCTCAAAGTTTTTAGGCCAATGGCCAAAATCAAGAGAACTGTTGATTAATCGAAAAAAGTATTCAATTCATGATGTGAGCCAGCAATTTTTATGGACTTGTAATAAGTTTAGGCTCGCTAACCCTTATGGTCATAGAAAGAGGTCGGTTTATGAGGAAATTGAACTGGATCTGTTTTACTGACACGGGAAATGTTATTTGGCAATTAAGACCATTTTCTGGTTGTTCATCAAAAGTTGCACCAGTAAAATGAGTTTTACGAAAAAAAACTACTTCTATTGTGGAACAAAAAGGCGATTGAGGTTTCAATTTTGACCTCGATTTTCTTAAAAACTGTCGCTCATATGAATCATTTAATTGTACCAGTGGACTCAGTTTTTATGTCCCTATAAACCCACCAAGTCTCAACTCTTTACTCAAATTTTCGAGTCTTTTGCAGTAATTTTTGCATTTCATTTGCAGGTTTAACCAGAAAATTGTTTTATTTACCAAGAAATGGGTTGTGATGAGTTTCTTTTGTTAAATAAGTTGTAGCTTGTACATTTAGATTCAAAATATCATGGCCCGAATGCGTTAATGTAAAGTTATTATATTGAATTGAATTATTAATTAGTAGAGAATCAAATTAGTGAAAGAATAATGACTGTAGGTGCTACCATACTCGAAATATCGAGGTTCAAAGTTTTAAGCTTAATGGCCAAAATCACAGAGAACTGTCAATAAATTGTTAAGAGCATTCAATCCATGATATGAAGTAACAATTTGCATGGACTTGTAATAATTTTCGACTCTCTAAGTCTTGCGGTCGCAGCTAGGGGTCGGTTTAAGTTAAAATCGAACAAATCTGTTTTATTTTTAGCAGAATATTTTATTTCCCAAAATAATTACATTTTATGGTTGATCACTTAAAGCTACACCAGCAAAATAAATCTTGAAGTAAAATCTGCTTCCATAAACGTACAAAGAGCGATCAAAGTTTCAACTTCGAACTCGATTTTCTCGAAACTTGTGATTCAGAGAAACTATTTAACTACCCAAATGAGCACAGTTTTTATGTCCCTTCAAACTGATAGAGTTTAAATTTGGAAGAAATCAATTCTTACCCTGTTTTCACCTAATAAAATAATGGTTTGTGCATAAAAGTGACAATTGTGTCTTGTTAGATGTTTATGCAAACCAAAATCTTATGTATTGTAATGATTTGATTATTAAACGAATCAGTTCAGATATCATTCAGTATTAAGTCATATAATTTTATAGGCCATAATGAAATCTAATGTTCAGTCAAAAAATGGTGATTGTTACAGGTTTTATTCTCGAAATATCAAGGCTCAAAGTTTTTCGTCCAATAGTCGAAATCAAGAGAACTATTTGTAGATCGGAAAAAATTTTCATTCTATGATGTGTGTTAATAACTTTTATGAACCGATACTAAGTTACAGTTTTCTTACTCTTATGGTCACAGAAAGAAATCGGTTTGTGTAAAAATCGAAGTGATCTATTTTATTTTGAACAGAAAATTTTATTTCCCGAAATAAGTACAGTTTATTGTTGATCACCAAAAGTTACACCAGGAAAATGAGTTTCGTGAAAAAATCTCTTTCCATAAATGCACAAAAAGCGGTCAAAGTTTCAACTTCGAATTCGATTTTCTCGAAAACTATTGATCAGAGAGATTTTTAAAGCGCACAGATGTGTGCAGTTTCTATGTCCCTACAAATCGGTAGAGTTTTAATTCTGAAGAAATTAGTTGTTACCCTGTTTTCACCTAATAAAATGACTATTTGTGCATAAAAGTGACAATTGTGTCTTTCTAGCTTACTTTAAACATTTTCTTGGTTAAACTGTTTAATTAATCAATACATAACTCTTCTAGAATTCAGTTTATTCTATCAATTCAGTTGATTGCTTAAAGGACTACTCTCTAACTCTTACGGTCACTGATTACGGGATGTTTAACCTGAAAATTGAAGTGATCTGTTTTACAGAAGTAGACAATCGATTGATTCCTTATTAAACCATATTGCATACTCTACCCATTATAAGCTTGATATTACATGATTTATTGCATTCTGGATCTTAGGTCACTTCAACTATTGTCCTTTTATTCAGATCGAAACTTTCCGTTTGAGCTAGCCAATGTGTTCATATCCAAACCAACTTATTTTATTAGTTAAAACTTACAGTTTGTTAGATCCAAATCATATTGAAAGGAAGCATCCTAAAAATAAAGTGAATATAAAGTGGACTAGATCCAATTTTTCTTTTCTGCTCAACCTTATTATCCAATATAATAACCAATCTAATTGTATTCTAACTCCCAATAAGATCTCAAATATACAGTGTAGAAGTCCCTCGATTGCTTGCAAAAAGATTTTGAATGGCTGGTGACTATTTAAACACTCAAAAGTTAATCGTCGCAAAATCATTCAAGTGGTTTTTGAAAATCAAATTGACACAGAATTGAATCGAAACAGAAATGCAATTCATTTTCAATTGGACGATTAAAAACTTGGCTCATGGTACTTGTGCTAATATATTGACCATTGTTTCAATCATATTTGCTGTTCTCACGGCACCTTTATCATTATTTTTCTGCGTCAAAGCTGTTCAAGAATATGAAAGAGCAGCTATCTTCAGGTTGGTGGAGCTAAAGGTCCAGGTAAAAATTGGGAATCGATTAAATAACAAGTTGCTTCGAATGTACAAAGTTTACTCAATGAATGCCTCTCTCGTCTTTTCAGGTATTTTAATCATTTTGCCCTGCCTTGAAAACTATGCAAAAGTTGACCTGAGAACTTTTGATGTTGCACCGCAAGAAATATTGACCAAAGATTCAGTCACAGTTTCAGTCGCTGCCGTTTTTTATTATAGAGTGAATAATGCAATCATATCAATTGCGAACGTTGAAAATGCTCATCATTGATTGAAAACCCGATTGCTGGCTCAAACAACCTTACGGGATAAATATCGAAGTTTAAACTTCAACCTTGATCTCCTCGAAAAATATCGATCAGAGAGATTTTCAAAAGGCACAAATGAACTCAGTTCCATGTCCCTACAAACTAACAGAGTCTAAATTCAAACAAATTCATTTTCACCCGTTTTTGTACAATTGTGTCTTTTTAGTAACAACCCGAATTAATTAAAAAGGAATGAAACTTACCGTTTTGACAGTGAGAGATGTCCATAAGAAACAAGATTAGTAAAAAAGACAATTTGAATCTCATTTTGGATGAATTGAACACTTCCACAACTTTTAATGGTTTAACTTTTAAGCTAATTCAGATTGTTTCTTATACCAACTGGTAATTTAAATATTAGATTACAATTGGGCTGACTTTTTTATTTCAATATGGTGTCAATAAAAATGAAATACTAAGAATTGAATTACCTGCCTTATGTGAGAGAAGCTGAACCTCCTAGCTAATATTATACCTCAATGAAAACTTTAGACTTAAATTTATAATCAGATTTAACTTTTTTGTTTGAGTTGGTTGGACTTAATGTTTTATATTTGTGATAAAATATTTATCTCTATAATATGAGATATTCTGCTGTAGAAAAACATGATTTGAATTGAAATTTGGATAAAAAATAATGAAACGAGTAGATTTGAAGTGCATATATTTTATTTAATAACTTTTGACTTCTAATAGAGGGATAATATTATTTTAGTTTCCTCAGTGTCAGTGAGAAAGGATTTAGGAAGGTTGGGGTTGAGGGGAAAGGATCAAATTTATCATTACAATTAGACTTGTCATGGAATAAAAGAGCTTTTTGTCCTTAAGTTAGCAATGAACTATCTGCAAATTTCTGGGTTTGGTCAGGATAGTTGTTTCAATGGAGGGATAGATAGTGTGAGGAAGAGACAGAGAAAAAGAAGTGGCCAAGAAAAAAGTGTATTGCGAATAAAGTGATTCATTTGGTAGAGTCCTAGTCTTGGTTGAAAGTTGAGTTGAACATCACTGAAGGATGTTTTCCACTTTTTAAAAAATGGTGTTACTCCGGTTTCAAATGGGTAAATAATCCATATTGATGTCGATGGGAGAAGAGGAAATAAAGTTTTTAATCAACTTTCGATTTGGTGCTTGTTTAAATGGGCGATGAAAAGGTGGTGACATGAAGCGTTTTTGTATATGAATGTGAAAGTGAATGTAAGTTTGTATGTATGCTTTTATGTTTAAATGTTCAAAGAGAATTGGCTTTAGTTAATGGTCTCTTTAGCTGCTTGATTCGACAAATTAATTGATTTCAATTTATTTTTGAAATTGTATTTCATTCTATTCAAATCAATTCCAATCCCTTATGGTCATAGGATCATCTTTCACAAATCCTTTTTGACCCATTTCTTTTTCTCTTCATCTCATCTCATTTTCTTAATCATCTTCTTTCCAAAACAGACGATCAATGTTAAATATATATTTTTTAAAGGCAGGAAAAATGACAAGCGTAGAGTCGACTTAATTTTAGAAAAAGAAAGATGAATATATGAGCTATCAATAATATTGCCCAACTAATCGTAAAGTTAGCATTTCTCTTGACTCGTCTTTTGAACCAATTAAAAAACCCTTGCCCTCAGTTTAAAGGCTATTTCTATTATGTTTTCTTGATTAAAGTGAAGAATCCTCTTTTCTTGGGTTCATCTTTTGGCGCTGACGCTGGTAAAGTTTGTGATCGAGAGGGACCAGGAGAAGTTTGCTGTTCCCGAGCACATTGATTAATCTTGTTGATCCAAGAATTCAAGTCCTCCTGTTCAGAGAAGAAAAGAAATTAGTAAAAGAAAAATGTAAACCCAATTGTTTAAATTTGGAGAAAAAAATCTTACAGAATTGGCAGCTTCAAAAAGATATTCTCCACCATCTGGTAATTTTAACCTAAAGACGTTCTTTCGTTTAGTGTAATCTGCAGGAATTTCAGCAACTGATAGCTTGAGATCTATAGGCTTTTCGTTTCGAAGATATCTATCAGGTTCTTGTTTGAAATGCTTTTGGTCCTTGAAGACACACAAAGATGAGCCTCTAAGTACCGCATAGATTCCTTTTTCCCAGGATCTGGTCAAAGAAAAAATAAACAAAGCAATTAGAGAAGCAAATTGTGCTTTTTAATGAGCCACAAGAGAGAGAAGGCTAAAAGTAATTTATTGTTCACGAATGTGTCAATCAAGACTTACCTATTGGAGGCTCGTTTTGTTGTTGATTCCCAAACATGTTTTCGATTGAGGATATTTTCAAGAACAATATCTTCATCACTTGTGCCAGCCGCTGTTCCAGCACGTTCTGAAGGTAAAAAAAGTTACAACATATTAATCACATTATTGAGCAAGAGTTTTAAAGACGATCAATAAATAAAAACAAACAATCTGAAAATTTTGACATTCAACAATACAAATAAAATTTTTGATTAGTTAGCAATGAAAATTGATGGCAATTTCCATGCACTTTTGGTGTTTATTATACCCACCCAAGTCTTCATCAAATGAAGATTTACGTTTTCTTCTCCAACTGCTGAAAGGTGACTTAGACCGGTAAGATGACCTCTTGAATTTCGACTTCGCGGGGGAAGCCGAAGAAGAGGATGCCCCGGCTAATTGAATTGATTGATTCGTATCAACATGCATTTGACCATAAATTAATTTAAACGACGGTGTTAACATTTGATAAAATAACGAAACACACATACACAATCAAATATTAAATAGACGAGGTATTAGATGTAAAAAATAAAGATGAGGACATAAAAAACGGAATAAATTAAAATAAATTAATTTGTTAGCAAAAAATGAAAGTCAGTTAATAATAGTTAGAAATAAGTAGAACAAAGAAATAAAAAAAGGACAAAAGGGACAAACTATCATTTTTCGTTTAAACCAACTTACTCTTGGGTAATGTTTCAGATTTAAAGGCTGGTTGTTCTTGAATAGAGATAGGTGATGAACTTGATTGCCGTCGAGCCATAGGTTGGCTCAGTTCTCTCACGAGTTCCGGAGCATGCACTATTTTTCAATATCATTTCATAGGAAGGGAAAGTGGTTTCATTTTCAATCAAAAAAGGTTAGAAAAAAGTTTTAATTTCATGCAAAAATAAAACAAAAAAATGCAGGATATGCAGGCCAAGCACAAGGGCAAACCAAGCAATCAAATTTTAGGGTTAAATTAAAGGGTTCGGGTTGATTGAGTGAAAATTGTATTTGTGTGTATATATGGTCAACCTTTTCAGCAGTGCGAGCCAAAGCGATAAGCTTAATTTGATCTACAATCGAAGCAATCAAATTGTTAAAATGCAGCTTCAACATACCTTTGGGTTCGAGTTCGGATAAGGCTTCAGAGAGTGGTCCAGCACTTCGTTCGGAAACATCACCTTCTCCATCGAGTCTAATTTAATAAAGAAAAAGCATAAAAGTTATTCAAGTTGAAGAAAAATCAAAAATTAATTCGTTAATTACCGATCAGATGGTGGTTCATCCGGTGAAGGCGTTTTCTGTGCTATCAATTTCGCCATTTCTTCTTGCCTCCTACGTTCTTCCAACTCTTCTTCTTCCCTTCGTCTTAGCTCACGCATTTCAAACTGTGAAACAAAGTTATCAAAAATTGATTAGTAATCGAATTAACTGATGTCAATCAATTTACTAGTATAAAAATGAGTACATTTCATATGCAACATTCTCTGAATGAATTTGATGGATTAATTTTGTAGGGTTAGTTTTGCTTGATAATGTTATTGGTTAAACTTGGTTGAATTTCAAGTTAAATGGTGAGTGATCATTCATTATTAGTTTAGTTCACAAATATGCATCACAAATTGTTTTCAAGTTTTTTTTTGCTTGTCAAGTGAAACAAATTTTCGGCCATAAATTGAAGATTGAAAACATTGAAAATTAAATCATTTGATTCAATTTTTCTCTAGGTTATGAAGCTGATTAAACGTGCAGCCGTAGCAAGTAATCATTCCAATTTGATAAATAACAATAAACAAATAGCAACTCAATTGTAAATTTTCACCCTTACATCATTATAGAAACCAGATCTTCTCATATGATCGTCAAGCTCGGAGTAGGCTTGAGTTTTTTCCTCCAAATTAATTAAAACTGCTTCTTGAGCTCTAAGCTCAAGCTGATAAATTGTAGTTGAAAAATATTTGAATTAGAAATTAAAAGTGATTAACAGAGTAGTTGAAAACCATTAACTAAATGAATTGAGTAAATTGGGTTAAGTACTATTAGTTTAAATGATAATTGTTTCTTTTCTTACCGTAGTCAGTCTTACAAGAGCAGCAAATCTCTCTTCTTGAGCAGCTGCTGATTTTTCAAATGCTTCATGTTTCTTGAGTAACTGTTCAACTTCATCAATTGTATGCTATAATAAAAGGGGGAGATAAAAGCAAATTATTACCATCATTAGAATTTCAAATGTTATAATTGAATTAAAGTAAACTTACTCCAAGTTCACGACTTAACAAGTAAGGCTCTTGTGCGATTAACCAGGCCTCAGCAACAGCCGCATCACGAGCGAATTGATACACTTCTAAAATAAGCTGCAAATGATCCCATCTTTCTTCCCATCTTTGCATCATGGAACCTCTTTGGTTGGTTAAGGTAAATATTTTGTCTCGAATTTCTTCAGAGGCATAATGATTGCGTTCTAATAATTCTTTACCCAAATTCATACAAGTACCGAAATTATCTTCTCTAGCATCTATCTCTGCTTTTAAACTTTGGTGGTTATTCATAAGTAATTCAACTCCAGAAACATCTCTTGGTTTCTCTGAGGTATTCATTTGTCGTACAACGTCATCCATCCAGGCTATAAGATCACGGACCATGTTAAAGAATTTAAAGAGATCACCTGTGTCGGCAAGTTTCTGTTTACGAGCTTCACAGTTGCTTAATAGCTTGTACCATGAATTGACTACTTCCCTTTCCCTGTCAACAATGTCCTGTGCTTGGTCACCAGCATAAGAAGCTTGTAATTTATTTGATTCATCTTGAATACCCTGTACAGCCAATCGTAAGGTTTGTAGATCTTTTTCGAAGTTAACATGTTTCCTTTGAAGATTAGAAACAGATTGGGCATCTCGTCCCAATTCATCTGACATAGAATTATACTTTTCATGGATTCGAGCCAAAACATCTTTACAATCATTAAAGAATTTAAATTTCTCCCAAGAAGCTGCCAGTAACATGTCCCGAGTCTTGATCAACTCTTGAAGATCATCCCAGGCTTCATTCAAACAGTCCTTCCATTCAGCGATCTGTGCTGAATCTGAGTGGCCAGCATTTATTAAAGAATCAGCTGCACTGTTAACATTTGATACTCGTTCTTTACCAAGTGACTCAGTATCACGAGCAAATACCTTAAATCGTTCACGAAGTGTTGTAACAAGGTCGTAATCTTGTCCCAATTCGTGTGATCCAGCAATGACTTCTCTTTCTTGTATCCAGAGCATTACATCATCAAACTCTCGACTAAGAGAGTACAATGATAAAGCTTCATTCAACTTGGATCGTCGTTCATTGGCTAAATCTTTAAGACCGGCGTATAATTTATCAACTTGAGATTGTCTAACTGCAATTTGATCAGCTTGAGGATGACCCTCAGCAACAAGCTGCCTGGCTGTTTCACCTAATTGTCGCACTGTAGCAGCGTAATCTTCAACAGCATTTTCCAAACTCTCATGTTTTTTCATTAAATTCTGTACACTTGGTTCATCTTTTCCTCTATCTTCAACCATCATGTATAATTCTTGTTCACTCATCCAAGCCTCCGCTTCAGATGCATCGAAGTAATATTGCTGTGCTCTTTCAGACTCAAGTAATTTACTTCGACGATGATCCATCTTTTTCTTAAGATCATCCCAATGGGCAAGTAATTCGTCAATTAATGTTTCAAACTCAGCTGAATCTGCATGACCGTCTTTGATGAGCTTTCGTCCATTGTCACAAATGTTCATTATTCTTGGTTCATGATTGTCAATTTCAGTTCTGAGTGATTGATTCTTTTTGATTAGCAATTGAACACTGAATAAGGTGTTACCATAGTCAGTTGAAGTGGCAAGAGGTTCTTTCTCTTTAACCCATAGTTTTTCATCCTCCACATCTCTTCGGAATTGGAACGCTTCTTTCTTTTTCATGAGTTCCTTTTTCTTTTCTCCCAAAGGAGCTTGTAATTTCTGGAATTTTTCGACGACCACAGCTTTTTTGGCTTGAATAACTTCTTTCTTAGCTGGGTCAATTTTTTCAAGCTTGCTAGCAATAGCTTCTAATTCATTTAGCTGCTTAGATTTAGTTTCAATTTGTTGTTCAATATTTTGCTGCTTTTGAAGGAAGTGGTTAACGGTTGTTAAATCTTGACCAGTTTCAGGTTGCATGACTTGACTTTCGAGTGATCTCATCCATTCATCGAGCTCATCGTAAGCATGAACACAAAGCTCTTCTTTTTTGCCTTCAAACAAGCGAGAGCCTTTTTCTTTGGTTGTTGTTTCAAGAGCATCGAATGAATTATTTAATTCATCAAGTTTGGGTTGTATCACATTAATAAGTTCAGGCTTTTCTTTAACAAATTCTTGTCCTGCCTGCATTACATCATCAAGTCTATCTTTATTAGAAGCAATTTCAGCCTCGAAAGCTTGATGTCGAGTCCATTTACTGTGAATTGTTTTAGCACTTCGGTAGGTTTCGTCCTGGGCAATAATGTATTTCTCTTGTATCCAATCTTGAAGCTGCTCAACATTTTGTAGGAACTGTTGTGTTCGAAGTTGATCTTTGAGTTTTTCAGCGTACTCTTCGGATCTTCTTCTATTAGCATCACGCCTAGCTGCAATATCGTCTGCCTTTCTACGAACTTTGTCAGCACTAATGATTCCCTCTTCACAGAGAGTGTGTGCGAAGTTGATGACAGCATTAATTTTTTCATCATTGGCTTCCATGGTTGTCTCAAATGCATCATGTCTCTTACAGAGTTCTTCTGCTTGCTCAAGACTAGTTGGAGTTTCATCTTTAGAAAGATAGTTTTCTTGTTGACTAAGCAATACTTCTGCTTGTTTTGCGTCACGATAGAACACTTGCAAATTGAGATTTTGTGACAGGAAGTGCTGTCGATTCTCCCACATTTGATGGAGCTCCTCCCATCCATTTTTCAAGGCTCTCAATCTCTCTCTGAGGAACATGTACTGTGGATCAGTTTGTCCTTGAGTAACTTTCTCTCCGTATTCCATCATACTATTGTAATCTTCGGTGTAATTGTCTATTTCATCCTTAATTTGCTTATGTTGGTTCAATAATTTCTCTGCTTCAGCAAGACTGGTTGGAGTATCTTCAGAGGCAACGTCAGTTTGAGTTTTAGTAAGCCAAGCTTGGAAGTGATCAAGATCTCTTAAGAAACGATGTAGGTCACCTGCCTCTTCTAATTTAGTTTCTTTAGCTTTCAATACTTGCGTCAATTTATCCCAGACAGATCGAATTTGTGCTGTTCTTTCTTCAATTAATGGGACTTCTTCAGGGTGATCAGCGCGAATCTTTTCAGATTCTTGCTCTAAGGTATTCAGTTTATCTTCAATAGCAGCAAGATCTCTTTCCATACCACTTAAACGTCTCTGTAAGGTCATTATACCAGTTAAATCATCACCAAGCTCTTCTGTTGCTTGAAGAAGTTTTGTCTTTTCTTCGATCCAGGTAATTGTCTCTCGGCATTCAATGTGATATGTTTGAACTCCATGAGCAGAATCGATTTCTTCTCTCTTCTTTTCAGCCTTATCTCGAAGTTCAGCCCATCTAATGAAATATTGAATCAGATAGTGAGAATTTGAAAGAAAGAGAGAAAGAGGAAAAGTGGATGTGGACAAAAACAGAGAGTAGAGAAAATTAAGTAATGTATATTTTACAATGTATAAACAATTTATTCAGTAAGGGTCAATAATCTTTGCTATAATGAAAGACTAATAATATACCACAGACATCTTTTTTCTTCCTCAATCAAACACGCAAAGTAAAAGTCTTAGGAAGTTAAGGTGTAATCTTTGCTAGTCTCAATTACAATGGAATAAAGTTACACTGAAAAGTAACAGTGATATTGTTAAATTTATCCAGCTATAACAATACCGTTGAAAGGTAAGACTCTCAACAAAAAGCAAAGTTAGATAAAACAAAAGGTCCATTTGTACTGCTGAATCATGGTTGGATAACTGTTGAGAATAAATACTTTTTTTGTTTGAATTCAATAAATGAGCTACTCAACTGAAACACAATTTCGTATCTAACGGTAAACATTGATTAATAAAACGAGTGAAAGAAAAATATTCAACATAATTGATAGAAGACAACTCAATGCAATAAATGAACCATTCAGTCAACAAATATTTAGTGTGAAATCATCTCAGTGAACTGTATGTAAGATTCTAAACAGAATGACGTTAATAAATGATTCTATAGATTTACACTTAATCAAGGATATCACTGACATAAAATTAAAAGTATCTACCATAAACCATTTATAATATAGAGGAGAAAAATATAAAATATAAAGATGCATGAGCAAAATAAAATACCTTTGGTTAAGCTGATTTTGCCGAGATACAATCTTCTCTGAATCAGGATGTTCAACAGTTAATAGTTGTCGAGCAATCTGATTGACGGCAGCAACTTTAGAAGCATTTGCATTCATTTCTTGGTCGAAAGTTTCAAACCGATGTTTCATTACTTCAATGTCTTCCATATCACGATTCAAGCTCATAGAGTCGAGCATCTTCTCTTTCTCAGCGATCCATTGTTCAACACCATCAGCTTCAGTGAATAATTTAAATAAGGAGATAGCATCATTGAGTCGAGACTTTCTCTTTTTAGAAAGTTCATTAAGTTCCTTGTGACGGGCATCAATTGTAGCCAATCTTTCCAAGACTTCGGGTGCATCTCTATCAGCAATACCCAAATTACGGGCTTGGTCTTTGAGACTTTCAATAACAGCTTCATGTTTCTTGAGCTCTTCAGTTGCCTCATTATGTTTCTTGGATAGAGCTTGTGCGTGAGGTTCATCAAAACCGACATCTTCACTGGAGATCAATTTGAATGAATCTTGCATGTAAGCATCAACATCATCAGCATCAGTGAAGAATTGATGATATTCAATAGCCTCAGTAAGACGAGTTGTCCTTAAAGCTTGTAACTCCTTCAATTTGTCCCACATTTCTTCAATCTCTTTGATTCGCTGACTAATCTCTTCAGCACCGAAATGTCCTGCTTGAATTAGATCTTCTCCAGCACGAATAACATTGAGAAGTTGATGTTCATGTGCACCTAATTCATCTTCAAGGGCTTTATTCTTGCTTATTAAAAGATGCACTGTTGTTAAATCGTGACCAATTTCTGCGGAAGAAAGAATTTGTTCTTTCTCCTTGATCCATGCTTCTTCTTCAGCCATGTCCCAATAGAACTGCCAAAGTTTCTTAGACTCTTCAAGACGATTCTTACGTTGATCTGCTAAAGCAACCAACTCAGCATAAGAAGATTCCAGTTTTTTAATGCGATGGTGAATAGCTTCGGGTTCCATGGGTCTATAGCCTGTCACTTCGAAGTTTTCAATAAACCGCTTGGCTTGTGCAGTTGTTCCACCAACACGATCACCAATTACATGGATATCAGCTTCCAATAAGCTATGCTTTTGGAGTAGGTCAACAACGCCCATGAGATGTTTGCCATAATCAGATGATTCGAAGCGACTCTTAAGAGCTTTCATGTCATCTTCGATGTAAGACATTTCTTGAAGAGTTTGTTGAAGAGAAAGAGCATTTTCAAGACGCGTTCTGCGATTTTTCAATAACTCAAGAAGATAATTCCATAGACGCAATACATTATCTTTTCTGGCATTAATGCGATTGATGTCATGATAGTTCTCAGCTTCTAATTCTTGAGCCACAGCAACAACTGCTTGAACCCTTTCTTCATAAGCAAAGATATCTGTTTCAATAGCTTCATGCTTTTTAGCAGCCGCTTCAACAGCCGGAAGGTCGTAGCCAAAGTTGTCTTGAGAAACCAATCTTTGATTTTCACTCAACCATGTCTCTCTCATACCAGCTTTACGGTCAAATCGGGCAGCAAGTTGCTCAAGCTTTTCTTGACGGATAAGTTCTTCTCTTAATGCCAATTCTCTTTCATGTTCAGCCTTTTCTAGCCGCTCCCAAGCTTTATTGACATCTGAAATCATTCTACCTTCCTTTGGTGTGTAAGCTTTTTGATTATTTGCTCTCATCTTGGATTTTAGGGAGAATAGCAGCATTTCAAGATTACTTTTTTCTTCGAATTTTTGAGGTTTCTCCACAGTTCGGTAGTTATTGAATTGAAGAAGTTGTTGTTGCACCCCTTGTAAACTGTTGGTGAATTGACGATCCCCAAGAGTATCAATGGTTTGTTCAATCCATTTCAAAAGGTCAGAAGTCAATTTTTCATAATCATCGACCATTCTGTCAGTTTCCATAGCTTCACCGACTACTTTGGCAATTCTTCGACCTTGCACTGTTTCTTGCTTCATCTTGGAGAAGTAATGGTAGTAAGTTACAACGTAAGTTATAATGGATTTCTCGTCAGGATTGTCGGTACAAACATCTTCAGGGTCAAGTAGTCTCATTAAACCAAGCTCTTTCTCGGCAACATTGAATGCATTGTTGAGATTGTGGATAGGATTGGCTTTGCTTAATTTATCATATTGGATGAGATCAGGTCTGTGTTTGTGGATGAGAGCATTGAAGGCTAATCCGTCCCTCCATGAAGTTGTAAAGTTTCGCACATTGACACTATGATAGCCGGCAGTTTTCATTTGACACCACAAAAGAAGTGCATCTTTGGCAGATTTTGTTTCTTGGTTGTCAACTTCTTCAACCATGATATCTTGAATTTGGAATCGTAAAATAATAGTCCAAATTAAACCAAGAGTTAACCTTGGATTACCATCAACAACATCATGAGACCCCATATTTTCCAGATGAACTCGTTGTTCTCGTAAAAGAAATTGCAACGCTTTGTCAACATTTTCTAAACAATGTATCCTCATTTTACCCTTAGTTGGTTTAGGTAAACGTTCACCAGACAGTATTTCCAGAAGTTTGAGTAACATTTTACCATCACGTAAATCAACATATAGATCATTGATGCGGCAGTTAGCTCGAACTAGGTGTGAGTTGACCCATTTAGTGAAGGTCTTTTTCTGAACCGATTCTCTTTCATCTATACACAGAAGAGAAAAGAGGAAAACGTAATGTATTAGAAATTAAGGTTATTTTCTAGGAATAAAAAATATAAAAAAAGATAATTATTATAAAGTAAACATACCAGCTAAAGCTTTAATTCTTGACCTCTCAAACAATCTGGATGAAGAGTTTCCCCCATCATATTCATAATCGTCCATAAGGATCTCTTGTTGGGTCACCGGGTCCCATCGAGGACCAACCGATATGTCGGTAGTCATCTTTATTTAAACCAACTATAAGCTAAGAGTAAAATAATTTATAAAAATTATCCATTAAATAGAGCAAGGCACAAATTACATAGACTTAAGATAGAAACAGGGTAACAAGTCAAAATGTTACTAATCAAAAATAAATAGGCAAAGAGAAAGGATACTCACCAGACACAATGAAAAACAAGTTAAAATTCACAAAATTTAATCAATTTGATGGTCACGCCTGGATAGTTAGTAAAGATGAAACCATTGCAATATAATAAATAAACGTTGATGTTTCCATTGTCAGGAAAGAAGAGATGATGAGTAAAATAGAGGAAAAAAGAATAAGATGGGCATGTCACACAGAATTTAAAAAGCAAAGAGATGAAGAAAAGCTGTGTCTAAAAGCTTGATTAAACAATCAATAAGATTGATTTCAATTGAAATTATCCAATTTTACCAAACATTGTTGATTACAGTATTGTTTGATAATCTTAATTTAGTAAAATATGTTAAAATCTAATTAATCTTAAAGGTTTAAGGTTGGGTGTGGCCGTACATTACAAGGTTACAGGATTTCAATATACACTCAAATATATTTTATAACACAACATATCAAACTTAATAGAAATGAGAAGAGAGAAAAAAAAACAAAGGCAACTTTACCTGATAATTTATCATTGAATCGTATTCTTGTTTGGTTGAATTAATGTTAAAAGGATGAACACTAGAATAATGTAAAATGATGAAGGGAATGATGAATTTAAAGTTGATGATCTATTAATTGGCGCTTCATATTATAGTTTAGGTTAATAAAAAAAGATGTAGACAAACAGAATAAACTCAAGTTAAGTGAGATGTCTAACCTTCTGCTCTCTTCTTTCTTACTCACTCTCTTTTCCTCTCTCCTCAGAGCCTCACCCGGAACTTTTCCTGATCTTCACAATTGTCATGACGATTTAAATACAGTTAAAAATATAAATTTCGGGTGAATTGAAACTGAAAATTCTGAGATTAAACACAGAAAAAGTGACTTTTGGTTAATTTACCTGAAATTGAATAACCCAACAACTGTGAATATCGCCACACCTAATGCTGAGTGGAGACCTCTAGGTTTAAACCTAACAATATTGTATACAAACGTTTTTCTGGTGTTTTTAGATTTTCAACTTTTAATTGTTTCTCTTTTCAATCTTTATTAGAAATAGATATTGATTCCTACGTTTTAATATTACTTACACTTGAACTTAGGTCAGCCAAGTCTAGAATGGTCAAAAGAGATAACCAGAGATATCAAACAACACTCATGGTTAAAAGAAAGTTGAAAAGCGTGAAATAAAAACGTCTCTTTTACTGCAGACTTTCAAGTTTTTGTTCATCTGCTATTTTTATTTACCATTCATTTAATAACCAGATTTTGCGATTCCATTGTTTTATTGTGATCAAAGATACTAACAGTTGTTTTCTGTGTACAATTATATTCATCTCTCATTTTTTTCGGGGTTCAAAGTAATTCAATTGTAATTGAAATATTCAATGCTCGTGTTCAATACTTCATTTCATCATCTATACAAATTGAAACCCTATTTTGATTGAAAAGTACAAAGAGTTGATTAAAAAACTCAATGAGCTCGCAATTTCAATTTAAATTAAACCAACCTAATTTCAGCTATAATTTCAAATTGACTTTCATTTTGCATGAATTTAGTCCGATTCCATTTCCTTTCAAATAATTTCCAAATTATAATAGTTGATTATAAAGATAATGTTAGAGCGATAATTGTTTAACTCTCATATTATTGTTTAATGATAAATATCAATAAAAAGCTTAGGTTTATTGTTTTCAAAACCACATCTAGTTGTGAAAATAAACTAACATTTACAGTTATTGTTTATCATGTTTATAAATTTCAAATCGCTTACCTCGGCATTAAATTTCTGTTTAAATCTCTATTTTGGACCAAGAAACGATTTTGATTAAGCTCATCTAAATGATGTTTCACTTGAAGATTTAAAATAACACACAACTTACGTAATCAATATTACTCACCACCTCGCAAATTCGTTAAGATTGATGCAGTTGTTAAATTGTCATAAATATGTTGATTTTCCTTGAAGAGCTTTAATATGATAAAAATTTAATTGCTTAGTGAAGGTTAACAATTCAGAAATATTTGTATTTCAATATTGATTGATTACAATGTTAGACAACAATTTAATTTGTTTGTGTGAAAATAAACGATGAAACAACTGTAGATTATTAAACTATCCCTAATGCTAAAAAATGAATGGAAAGCATGTGTTTACCACTCTTGTTTTTTAAATTATTTAATCATGAATAAAGTGCAACTGACTCGGATTGTAATGTTATTTATGTTTGATTGAAAATTGTCATCTTTAGATTGGCCACAATGATTATAACTAGGTTTAGGAAATTAGTGAACCCAGCGAGTTATCGCTTTTGCCGGGTAAGATGTCATTCGTTACCTCATTGGTTTCGTTTTTTGTGGAATGACTTTTAACTTTTTTTTATTCTGTTTTCAGGCGTTCCTAAGTGATATCAGGCATCATCAGGAGGTTAGAAATGTTGAAGATATCCGAAATATTGGTATATCTGCTCACATTGACAGCGGAAAGACAACGTTAACGGAGAGGCTTCTTTTTTACTCTGGTAGGATTGATGAAATGCACGAGGTTAAGGGTAAAGATAAAGTCGGTGCTGTTATGGACAGTATGGAGCTAGAACGAGAAAGAGGAATCACAATTCAATCGGCAGCAACTTATGTACTTTGGAAGAGTAAAAATATTAACATTATCGACACTCCTGGTCATGTTGACTTTACGGTCGAGGTTGAAAGAGCACTGAGAGTTCTTGATGGTGCGATTTTAGTTCTTTGTGGCGTCGGAGGTGTCCAGGCACAAACATTCACAGTAACTAGACAAATGGCTCGTTATAGTGTTCCCTGCATCGCTTTTATTAATAAATTAGATCGTAAAGGAGCTGATCCTCACAGAGTTCTGAACCAGATGAAAGAAAAGCTTCATTTTACAGCAGCTTTGACACAAATTCCGATTGGTATTGAAGATAATTTAAAAGGAATCATTGATCTGATTGACGAAAAAGCAATTTATTTTGATGGACCTCATGGGTATGTAAATTAACACAAAGATTACATCTTATTTTAATAGAAATCAATAATTAAAAATCATATTTGGCTATTTTTAATTTATTATTCCTATCTATTTCAGGGAAAAAGTGCGACATGACGAAATCCCAAAGGATATGAGAGCCGAAGCTGTTGATAGAAGACAAGAATTGGTTGAATGTATATCAAATGTAGATGATGTTCTTGGAGAGATGTTCTTAGAAGACAAAACGCCAAATAATCAAGATATAAAGGTAAAATAGTCATTTTAATAACTGATATGTATTGATCAAAATATCTGCATTTGTCCACAGGCAGCGATCAGAAGGAATTGTATTTCGAGAAAATTCATCCCGGTTTTAGTTGGTTCAGCCCTTAAAAACAAAGGAGTTCAACCTCTCATGGATTCAGTAATAAGTTATTTACCGAACCCTGCCGAAGTTGAAAATTTTGCATTCAAAGAATCGGATGATGGCAGTGAACCATCTAAAGTTATATTAAGTCCTGCTCGAGATAAAAGCAGTCCATTTGTAGGCTTAGCTTTCAAAATGGAACAAACTCGATTTGGTCAGTTAACTTATATTCGCACTTATCAAGGTAGTGTATCTAAAGGTGATATTATTTGGAATGCTAGAACTGGAAGAAAAATTAAAATTCCTCGGTTAGCTCGAATGCATTCTAATAACATGGAAGATATATCCGAAGCTTATGCTGGTGACATTTGTGCCTTTTTTGGTGTTGAATGTGCATCTGGTGACACTTTTGTCACCGATCCTAGTCTCAAATTATCTATGGAATCAATTCATGTACCAGAAGCTGTTATCTCGATGTCTGTAAAGGTAAAGGACAAAAATAGGGTTGGAAATTTTACTAAAGGTATTAATAGATTTGTCAAAGAAGATCCAACGTTCCATTATACTTGGGATTCTGATTCTAAAGAGATGATAGTATCTGGAATGGGTGAACTTCATTTGGAAATTTATGGCCAGCGTATGGCCAATGAATACGATTGTCCTGTTGAACTGGGCAAACCTAAAGTAGCTTTCCGTGAAACTTTAACGGCTCCCTGTAAATTTGATTACTTCCATAAGAAACAATCAGGAGGTGCTGGTCAATATGGTAGAGTTGTTGGTATTTTAGAACCAATACCTTCACCACGAAATACTGAACTAATCTTTTCACCCGAAATCGTGGGTAACAACATACCCAAACAATTTTTGCCCTCAATTGAGAGAGGTTTCCGGATGATGTGTGAAAAAGGTCATTTAAGTGGTAACAAAATACGTGGAATCAAATTTCGATTAAAAGATGGACAAAGTCACAGCGTTGATTCTAATGACATTGCTTTTGCTTGTGCTGCTGTTGGTGCCATTAAACAAGGTAAGTAATTTAAAATTTAAAATTAATCTCCAGCTTCTAATTGATTCTTTTATTATTTCAATTTAGTGCAAAAGCTTGGAAGGTGGCATATTATTGAACCCATCATGAAATTGGAAGTTACCGTTCCTTATGAATTCAGTGGACCAGCCATTGCTGCAATCTGCAAAAGATCGGGAGTCATCGTTAATACCGAGGAAGCTTCTGGTTACATGGCTGTTTCGGCTGAAGTATGTTGAATGTTTTCTTATTGCATAACTTTTCAAGAAACATTATACTTTTGTTATCAGATTAGATTTAATTGCAAACTCTTGATGATTGACTAGTTTCTTGTATTTCTTGTTTTCGTACTTACTAACCTTAATTTGATCAACGCGAAAGTCATGTTCGTTTTACTTTTTACTTTTTTTTCCAGTCAAAGCAAGGCTTTCTAACTCATAAAATCTGAAGGTTGTTAACTTCAATTAGCAACTTGAAAATAGAAAATATTATAAAAAAAATGAATTTAAACATGTAAAAGATTCAATCTCATCATGCATTCTTGATCTTTGACTCTCACTTTTCATTTATCTTCCTTGCTTGTCAAGTTTTTTATTTCATTTTCATGTTACCTTCATTGATTCCCAATTAATTTCATTTAATCATTCACATATTTCTCTCTTTTTTATCATCCTTAAATCAGGCTCCTCTCAATGATATGTTTGGATTTACAACTGAATTGCGAACGTTATCTCAAGGAAAAGGCGAATTTACCATGGAATTTTCAAAATATGCTCCAGTCAGAGGCGATGTTCAACAACAATTAACTTCTGGTTACAAAGATGATAACCCTGATTCACATTTAGAAAGAAATATTATATTATAAATACAATGTAGATATAATAAATTCGTTTTTTTTCTTTTCGTAATTTAAGATTTATATCAAATTACAAATAAAACATTCATCAAATTTTATAAATTTCAATGAACATGAAACAATTTCAATCTTAGATAATTCATTTTTACATCAATCATCTAAAATGAGATCACATCTAATTTTATTGAATTGAATTGCTCATTAGTTCACTTTCTCTTTTAATATGAATAAAAGTTTATTAAATAAAATGAAAAAAAAACTAAGCATTAGGTTAACAAAATTCTTGTTAACCTAGTTTAATGAGGTTGTATTATAAGCTTATTAGCTTTTAACCTTGAAAATGCGTGTATAGTTTCAACACTTTTGCTATCAACGGTTATAACAATTTTAAAAATCACAAAAATTGCTTTCACTCATGATTTTTCTTTAAGATTGTGAAGTAATGTCTTCAAGAGAGATACTCAACTGCTATGTTGATACCAGACAAAGTGAGAAGTAAGCTTAATTTTCATGGCTGTAGATAAGGTACCATGGTTTATTAATTACAACGCCAATTAGCAATTATTAACTGTTAAGAATTAGGCACTTTATTTTGCTTGATTGCTCCGCCGTTTGTGATGAATTGGTAAAAATAGCAGAGTTTTTTGTTGTTTTTTGCATCAGATTCTCCTTTTAGCTTTTATCATGGGGCAATGCGGAGAGATTTGACGATTAATTTTGTTGTTGTTGTTGAATGAATGATTACATATATATATATATTTATGATTAATATAATAAATATTGTCACAAAAAGGTAAAGTAACGTATATGCTCTTTTAAATTGCCAATCTAAATTCTATTCTGGTCAAATGTGGATCTAAATGCGAAAAGGAAAAAGAAAAGAGGTGAAAATAATTAGATAAGGATGAATTATATACTTTTAGAAACAGTAAAACAAGAAGAGCACGATAATGATTGATATTATGTTGTTGTTGGTGATGAGAGTGAAAGATGAGTTTGCCTTCGGCAGTAAAACGGTTATTTAGGTGGTAAAGAATACGCAGAAAAAAAGGGAATAAAAGTAAGGGTAAAAGTTAATGGGATAAATTATAATCAGAGCAATACAAATGTTACGTTTGTCAGCGGTAAAATGAACGGAAAATGTTGCAAGATAAACAAGCTTATAATGAACAATAATTACTGACAAAAAAAACAGTGATTACTTAATCTCTTCTTGTTTCATTATTAAGTAAGAAAGATAATGGAATTGGAAAAAAACAAATCATACCTTTCGCATTTGTTTTACAGGCAATGAAGGAGAGCGTAATGTTGGTGCAATTGAGTCGCCATTACCAATTGCACTTGCAGATTGCTGTTGACCATTGACACTTGCTGTTGATGGAGGAGTGTTGGTAATGTCCATTTGCTCTACTGTTTCACTTAAAAAAGGTAAACTTTGAGAATTTGCAGGTATTGATGATGAAAATGTATTCTTTCGAGGTGACCTAGAAGAATGGTTAGGAAATTTGTGTGCTTCGTCTAGAAGAGAGGGTGCAACATATGTAAAGCCAAGGAAAGATCGATTGAAACTTTCACTGATGGAAGATTCATCAGGACTATCGATTGGTGGTTGACCAGTAAATCTAGTGTCAAATAGTGATGTATCCTCTTCACTAGTTAACATTGGTTTAATTGGAGGTTCACAACGTTTGGCAAGAACATCATCCCAATTGACATTAGAGAAAAATGGATGCCTCCTGATGGGTTCAGCATCTTCAGTATTTGAGCAAAGTCTAAGCTGGGGTTTTCGTTGTAACAGTTTACGGATCAAGTCTTTAGCATCAGGTGTTAAGTATGGTGGTAATATGAGTTTACCTTTCAATATTTTTTCAATTGTTTTACGTCTAGATTCAGCTGAAAAGGGTGGATGGCCAACTAACATATCATACATTAAAGCACCCAAACTCCACCAATCAACTCCTCTGGCATGACCTGTTCGAGTCAAAATCTCTGGCGCCATATATTCAATAGTTCCACAAAAGGTATGAGTTATCTTATCATTGTTAAGTGTTTCTTTACACAGGCCAAAATCGGTTAGCTTTATATGACCTTTAGAATCTAATAGAATATTTTCAGGCTTAAGATCCCTATAAATGATGCCACCTCGGTGGAGATGTTCAAGGGCCAAAACTATCTCAGATAAATAGAAACAGGCTGTATCCTCCAGGAAGATTCCTTCTCTCTCAAGATGCATAAAAAGTTCACCTCCAGAAAGGTATTCCAAAATAAGGTACAATTTATTGCCAGTTTGAAATGCATAAATCAGGTCAACAATGAAGGGGTGCTTAACTGATTCAAGAATACTTCTTTCAGCCTTGGTGTGAGCAGTATCCTTTTGACTTCGGCAAAGTGTTGCCTTTTTTAGGACTTTCATGGCAAATATTTTCCCGCTTTCTTTTCCACTGATTTTGCGGACTTGGAAAACTTTACCGTAACCACCGCGTCCAAGAACCTTGAGTAGCTCAAAATCTTGTGGACCAGTTTTCTCTTTCCCCATATTAACAGTATGTTCATTCAGTTGAATTTTTTCCATATCTGCATCCTCTAAGATAGCACTCATGTCCGGTTCAGTAATCTGTGTCAGTAGAAATGAAAGAAGATACCGAATGAAGGTAAAAGCAGAAGATATATATTTAAAAAATAAACAACCAGTTCGGGTAGTCATCAACAGGATTCTCAACACTTTCAATAGAAACTTTCATAGTTTCATGTGAAAACAGTGTTTCAACAATTAATTGTTTACTGGCTATCATTGTTAGGGGCTTTCAGTTTATATAGTAGTCTACAAAATATCTTTTTGATTAAATATTCACCAACAAATCAATTGTTCGGATTATACTTTAAAGTAGAGAAAAATTAAGCAAAAATGGGTGACCTGATTGGGTTTCGAATTGAGGAAAGTCAAGCTTATTCATCTACAAAGCAAACTAGATGAAACTAGAAGTGTTTGTTAAAAAAAGAGAGTGAAGATGCGATGGGGGAAGTGAGAGTTGGATAGGATTCAAATCAATATTCTATTGAAACAGCTTATCTGAATAGAGAAATGAAAAAAGGTCTGTTTAAGGTAAAAAAGTAACTCCTGTAGTTACGAGAAATGTCATTAACCATATCAAAATTACATCTCTAGTCTGAAAGCTGATGTAAACTTTCAATCAGTGTATCCAACATCCACCAAGACCAGCATCATCATCATTATTAACACTATCACTTTTCCCATCAAATTGATCTTATGCACCTGCTGATAGCGCTCATGTTGGCAGTTAGACATCTATACTTCAGTTAAAGCGTATAAATAAAAATAAAGTGAAGATTAATGTTACCTCTTGATCATCTACATCAATGGAGTCTTCATCAGAGTAATCATCCTTGGCATTGGTTTCATTTAATTCTAAATCAAAAACACCAGCCATTTTTGTTTTATAAATTTTCAATTGTATTCACTATAGAGTAAGCTTAACGTTAACTGGACACAAACAAATCGCACATAAACCGAAAAAGTGTAATGTTTAAACCAATCATCACCAAATCACATTGTTGAGTTGATGGTCAGCGATAATCCAAACCCAGAGAGTATCAAGTTGTTGTTGGAAGATTGATTCGCAGTCAGTATAAATAATGGATTATCACAATAATTGAGAAACAATAAAAGGGACAGAAAAGAGGAGAATAAGAATTAAATAAATAACGGTTGATAAGTGATGATAGGGTGAAAAATACACTATTAAATTAAAAGAGATGATTTACTTAATGCATGAAACAAGCCAAAAGACAAGCCAGAAACAGCTCAACTCATTCACTCTCTCACCATTTTCTCCTTCTTCTTTCTCCCTCTTCTCATACTTCTTTCTGCATCTCTTTCTTTTTCTCTTTCTCATCTAGTTTCCACCTAAAAGACTAACTCAACACCCCCAACACTAGTCACCACCATTTTTTTCTTGTTTCCTGTAGATTTTGTTACCTTTTTCAACAAAAAACAATCACCACTAAAGATGAATATATTCACAAAACACAGGTAAAAATGGTTCAAAATGAATCCAAACGATACGCAGTACTATGTTACTACTGTATTGAACACAAAATGAAGAGATAGAAGGAGTTGATGATAAGGTTTGATTTTTTAGAGATGATGATAATAACGCTGATAATTTTGATGATGATTGCGATTGTTTAGTGGAAAACTCTTAACAAGGTTATTTAAAAAGAAAAGCTTTGCGAGATGAAAAAATAGCAGAAATTGTTTCCTCTATCTACTGCTGACTAGTAGAATCTATTGCCTGTGAGTTTTCATCATCGTCAATTGTCCTAAAATTACTATTTATTTACTAAATTTCGGTAATATACGTGATTCTTTACTTTAACTCTATTACTGTTTGGTTCTTGTGATTGTGTCTTGTGTGCCTTGTTTGAGTTCTGCTCTAACAGACTTGTAATCACTACAATTTGGGAGTCTTACAAACGTGGTATTGATTTGACCTTGTAATCCAAAGGGACGAACGAAAAGTACGGTGTACCGGATCTGGATCGGAGATGACAAGTGAAGAGGAAAATTAAAAAGGTGTAAAAAAATTAAACAACTAAATAAAAAGTTCAATCCTTATTTATAAAAGAGTGAAATTCAGTTCGGAACTAACTCTAGAGAAATATCTAATAGAAGAAGGAAAGAGTGAAAAGTTCAGAAATGAACAAACTCTTAACGGAAGAAGGAAAGAGTAAAAAGTTCAGAAATGAACAAACTCTTAACGGAAGGATAAAAGGAATAAGATAATCAAGAAAAGAGCTATGACAAAAGATAAAATTATTGATAAAAGCCAAAGAACAAACTAAACAAGAAAAGACTCAAAAAGCTGCCAAGCTTAATATGGTACACTAGGGGGCAGCAATAGAAGCTGCTCAACCATGACCGCATGGCCTGTTTACAGCAATGTATCCGATTTAAATGCTATCCTTTTGGAATCTTTTTTTTTCTATCTCTCTCTCGTTGAAAATGAAAGATGTTGGTTCGGTCTCTGATTCCCTTTTTTTTCTTCCTCCTTCTGATTATTTGATTATTTTATTCACAATTTCAATTAAAACTGGTACAATATTTTTGTCGCTTGTTTTACCTTCACTTAACCAGTTATTGAAAAATCGGAAATGATAAGATAATGTGAGTAGAAAAATGTGTAATTTAAACATGATCCTCATGTTCATTACTCTTTCTTTCATTCTTTCTCCTTTTTCTATGTAGAATCACGTTTAGGATGATGTTTTATTAAAAAGGAGTAGGAAAAGGTCAATCATTCCCATGGTAACGTTCCAACGTGGGTTCAGGAAAATATAAATTTTGCTCACAGGAAGAAAAGAATCAGCCCATGATTGGATATTCAACCCTGAGCCATTTTGATGTCGTCATGAACAGTTGGTACATAAGGCAGACATAATTAATTCAATCCTCTCCATACTTTCAACCAAATATCACTTCTGAGGTAAGGCGCAATTTTTTCTCTACATTTTTTCCTTCTGATGTCATCTTAAACTCATGGGTATTCTTTTCTTTTACCGGTTTATCTCTTCTAGTCTCAATGTGAACAAAAGAAGAGGTTTTAAAATGGCGGGAAGAAAGTGGAAAAGTGAAAAAGCCAAACATAAAGGTGAACATTTACTCTTCAATATTGGACTCAAAGACGGTACATGAGGTTGTTGGTATATATTGTAACATGGTTTAAATGAAGAGCTCAAAGATGCATGAATTTAATGGCTTGGATTGTTGATGACGGCGATGATGAAACATACAGAAGAGAAAGAGAAGGAAATTTTCCAGTTTCTTCAACTGGTTTTGAGCAGATCAACCTAGATAATCTGTTCAGCTGAATAATGATGGTGATGGGAAGGAGACAAGTTGACAAAGCTCAAATCGATTTCATCTTCTAGATAATCTTACGCAAGCCTTTTTAATAACAACCTATCAACCTCTCATTATCATGGATTAGAAAGACCTCTCATTGTGTTGGACTCTTCCGGTCATTTTTCAGCCTTGCTTAATCAACTGTCATACCTTTTGAATCTCACTATTGTCAACTTTTTTTCCATTGACAGTTGTTTTCAACATTTTAGTTGTTTCTTGATTGTAATAGTTATCAACTGTTATTTGATTTGGGTTTCAGATTTTTTTGCCTATTCTGAATCAGTCCTTAATCAAATACAATTTGAATTGTTGGAATAATTGAAAGGTCAAATGACAGATTGAGTGATGATGAACATGGATATGGAATCGATAAAGATCAAATTAAAATTCAATTTATCCAATCAATGTCAATTTTATGCTATTCAATTAGCTGCCTTTAATTTTTGCCAGTTTTACTGAATAAATTAGTTCTTTCCATGATCATTCAATCTGTTCTGCCCTTCTTCGTCAATACATTTGCGTAAATTATTAAGGCTAACCAATCTGGTTAAATCAATATAAATATTTAGACATTAAACTTAGTGCGTCAACCGAAATCCATTTCCGAATTGATTAACATTGACTTGTGGGTGAATTGTTTTTGAATAACAATTATTTTATTGAATTAAGTTACAGTTTGCTGTTCAACATTAACCTAAATTAATTGGGTTAATTAGTGAGTTATTTGCTCATCTGTATTTGGCGCGATAACTTTCAAGATCTCTTTTAATCGAACAGCTGATATTGTACTGTCATTTTCAAAAAAAGCAAATCGTAAATGTTAATTTAAGAGTTTAATTTTACTTTAAGTTGATAACAATTAATTTATTTATTTTTTAATTTCATCATTTCAATAATATCGGTGGTCATATTGTTTCATGTGTTATCTTTCCATCTTGACAGTGTTAAACGTTGACTTCAAGTTTAGATATTTTGCTTTTTTGTATGTTCTGCTTTGATTGACATCAGTGTATGATTGGTAAGTATGTCAACAGCCTTTATAATTAGTAAATAACTGTTTTATATTTTCAGCAGGTATTTCGGTTTAGACACTTCAGTTTATATCATGGAAGAAGATAAAGTGCTTCATTTTACTACTTTTTATGGACAATCTGTTGAAATTCCTTTCGAGCAACTGGTGTGTTCCACGTTTTATTACATTAGACTTTATTTACAAATGTACAACTTAATTCATTGCCATCCCCTATTTTTCACTTTAGCCGGGACAGTCAAGATCGATTCACGAATTTGATAAACTTGATAGGGTCGGAGAAGGCACTTACGGAATCGTTTGTAAGTTTCAGCAAAATTTTGATTTCTCTCTTTGTAAAGTTGTAAACATTCCAGAACGTAATTAATTTAATAGATATTTCAAAAAATTTATTGAAAATTACTAGATCGAGCTAAAGACAAAGTGAAAAATGAAATTGTGGCAATTAAAAAGATTCGCATGGAAAGAGAAAAGGATGGAGCCCCTATTAGTGGAATTCGGGAAATCCGTATTTTGATGAGTGTACGCCATGAAAATGTTGTTCAACTTCTGGATGTTGTTGTAGGACGTAGCTTGGAATCAATTTTTCTGGTCATGGAATACTGCGAGCAAGACTTAGCCTCACTTCTTGATAATATGCAAAGCTCATTTTCAGAAGCTCAGGTGAGATATCGTTTGCTAATGCATAGCAATAACATTTGATTTGAAAAAACTTCTAGCTATCAAAAAAGTTCACCATTCACTCAATTTCCCTTTACACCTTTCTATTTTTAATTTTAGATAAAATGCATTATGATTCAGCTCTTTCGTGGTCTTCAACATCTCCATAAAAGTTTCATTGTCCATCGTGACTTGAAAGTATCAAACCTTTTATTAACAGATAAAGGATGTCTCAAGATTGCGGATTTCGGACTGGCTCGTAGATGCAGTGTTCCAGCTCAACCTATGACTCCACAAGTGGTAACTTTATGGTATCGAGCTCCTGAATTATTGCTTCAATCCAAGATTCAGACTACGGCAATTGATATGTGGGCAGCAGGCTGTATTCTCGGTGAACTATTCTTGCATAAACCTCTTTTTCCTGGAAGAACAGAAATACATCAACTTGAATTAATAATTGATCTGCTTGGAACTCCTAATGACCAAATTTGGGATGGTTTCTCTGATCTTCCAATACTCAAGAACTTCAGTCTTAAAAGACAACCCTACAATAATATAAAACATGTGTTCACATGGCTATCTGCAGCAGGTCAAAGAGTTCTCAATTTTCTATTCATGTACGATCCTACCAGAAGAGCAACAGCTGAAGAAGCTTTACAAAGCTCTTACTTCAAAGAAAATCCTTTACGTAAGTTGAATAAACATGTACTTGTCGATATATCTGTGTTCTTAGTTCGAATCTTTAATATTTAATTATTTTTTACTCTATAGCTTGTGAACCTGAAATGATGCCATCTTTTCCTCAACATCGTATCCGTCGCGGTAAAGATATTAAATAACTCAAGAATTTGGACCTAAAAACTGTAAATACGATTAGTCTTAACTTTTATATCGATAACTTTTCATATTTAAAACTCAAACTTCATTCTTTATTTCTCATTAAAAAATGCAATTAGTAATTAAAATTTGTTTCGAAAAATATAATAACTTTTTTATTCTCTTCCATCTCTTTCTTAAATAAAATGGAAAAAATTGATTCAAATAATTTTTGCAATAGTAATCTGGTGCTTAAGAGATGTGGTTCAACTTTTCTGCCACCCTTTTGTTGATCAAAATGCTGAGTTTTAGAAATCTGTAGCAGAAGTAAAACTGATTTTAGTCCAAACTCACCGGATCGAGATGGATTTCTTCTTGGCATATTTCTGGTTAAAGCTGGCTCTATTGGAGGTGACAGTTTATTATTCCGTTATCCTTACACGATCGATGATGATACCGTTGCTCCATCAAAGCAAGAAAAAAAGAGTAAAAACCCATTTGCTTTGGTTGTTGAGAATGTAAACAATGGACATTCATCAGGCCCTGTTGAAGATAACTGCCGAACAGGTAACCCATTCGATTCAAATGATCTTTCATTATATCGCCTCATGCAAACTCGTTCCATGCTTGTGTTTTTATTATTGTGTTATGCTTTCAATTAATTGTTTTCTGTCGCATATGAATTAAAGTTTTCACAAATGTAGCCAACTGATAGCGGCAGCACTTAAAATGAAGCTTACGCCAGTAAGCAAGCTAAATCCATGTTGACTGTTCATGACGTAGCTTCATCATATTCTTCATGACGATAAAATAAAAATGGTTAATGAACTAACAAATAACTGTAAGAAATAATTGAGTAAGTTGACTCGGTTTTGTACAGAAAACATTTTGAAGATTGCGGGCTGCAAGAAGGAGCATGTGTAATAGCATATTTCTGTTATATGAGATTTCAATGAAAATCTGTCCTTGAGGTTGCATCCTTGCTAATTGTGTTTTGATTTTCGGATAGTCTTAAAAATTAATTGCTAATATTCTAAGTTAATCATGTTGAATTTAGCGTCTCGACTAATAATTTCGCCGCTTCCTGTTACCAATGGAAGGTAAGTTTTGTTCTCTATTTAGGTTATAAATTTGTTACTAATCAATATTGTTTTTGATTCATCTTATAGCCAAGTCAGAGGAATGGCAACCCTCAAAGACAGTAAGTTTTTAATTTATTTAATCTGTTTTAACCATTTCTATGCACATTATATTTATTCGGTTACTCGACTTATTTTTTTACAGTCCGTCTCCGGTTGAAATCAGTCAAAAATATCCAGAAGATTACTCAAAGTATGAAAATGGTTTCAGCTGCTAAATATGCAAGAGCCGAAAGAGATTTGAAGGTTGCCCGAGGTTATGGAGATGGTGTAAAAGGTGAATTTATGCCCTTTTATATAATTCATAATATGTTTCAGTATTCTCATCTCAATTTAATTCTTTTCATCTTTAGCTTTCTACACTGCCACTGAACTTCAACCAAAAGAGGAACAATCCTCATCTCCTGGTACATTAATAATAGCTTTAACTTCTGATCGAGGTCTTTGTGGTGCTGTCCATTCTGGTGTAGCCAAAAAAGTGCGAGCGATCATGGCTTCAGATCCAAATGCATCCAACATTAAATTGGTCACCATTGGAGATAAAGCTAAGCTGATGTTAGCAAAGTGAGTATTGTCAACAAAAAGGATTTGCAAATTTTCTAAACCCAACTTTGCATATTTTCCTTCTTTAGACAATTCAAAGACAATGTTATTTTGATGTTCAATGATTTTGGAAAGAGACCACCTACATTCGGTGACGCTATCGAAGTAGCCAATAGCATAATCCAAAGTGGAAATGAGTTTGAGCAAGGAATTCTTATTTACAATCGATTCAAGTGAGTATTATTTGCTAAAATTATCATTATAATAATTTCATTAAACTAATAAATTTTTGTTTCGTCTTTTAGGTCTGTAGTCTCTTATGCTATCTCTGAGTTACCTGTTTATTCAATGGCTGCCATCTCTAACTGTCCTAAAATTGAGCTTTACGATAGCTTGGATGCTGATGTCTTGAGATCGTACCATGAATATTCCTTGGCTAGTTTAATCTTCTATGCCATGAAAGAAAATGCTTGCTCTGAGCAGAGCTCAAGAATGACTGCTATGGACAATGCCAGCAAGAACGCCGGTTAGTAGAATTTCCTTTATTTGATATCTTTATTTTTTTGAAATAATGAACTCGTTAACCATTTTTGTTTTCATCTTTTTTTTCAGGTGAAATGATCCAGAAACTAACTCTGTCATTCAACAGAACAAGACAAGCTGTTATTACCAGAGAGTTGATTGAAATTATTTCCGGTGCTGCTGCCCTTTAGGTACAATTGATGTAATTTATTTGCAGTTGTATCCTATTTTAGAGTTAGCTGCATATCATTAAAATCTTAAATTGTTGTTTTCTTTTGCTGTAAAGAATATATTTGAATAATCGAGAAGTTACCAATGCGGTGTTCAGGAACGAATAGTGTATTTAAATTCAGGAGCAAGAGCCTTTCCTCATTCAAATATGAATCCAAAAATTAAAGCGGTTGGATTAATTAATATAATTTAAAATATTTATTGTAAAGATCTGCCGGTGAAGAGAAATTGGCAAACGTTGGTGAAATTCTAGTTAAAAAAGTTTTTACGATAATTTTGATTCTATAAACCGTGTTTTATCATTAAAATACATAGAAAATAGTAGAATAATTCAAATTAAAATGGAATCAGAGTTAAAATTGGTTGATCTGGGAAGGTTTGAGTTGGTACTGGTTATTTGTAATCAATCATCGTTAATCTATGATCAAGCCATGTTGAAAATTGATTTTTATAACAGATGCAACACGAATCGTATTTTATTTGACATTGATTTACGAAATGATCACAGTTTAAGGTAAAGAAGGAATCGATAGGAAGTACGAAAGAGTCAAATACAAAAAGAGAAAAACCAAATGACACAATAATTAAACACTATCATTAAACTGACAGGTAATCATTTGTTTAAAAGCGATGACGAAAATGTATTTAATAACTGATGTGATGTAAAGTAAAGCGATTTCACAGACTGAAATTATTAATAAGATGCAAATTTTTAATCTAAGAAGTCAAAATAATACCTCATTTAGGTGAACTTATCTGCTTGACCGACTGAAACAAGGTTTTCTACACACATATTTAGCACTGGATTTCTGGACTCTTCATGTCGAGCTCATAGGACAACTCCATCTTGTCCCTGGATAGCTTTTTAAAAGCCAGACGGATTTGTCACTTCACCAGTCGAAGCTCGAAAACCTTAAACCTTGTTTGGGTTACTTCCAGGACTGAATTAAAACATGACTTTAACACAAAAACTAAGAATTTGCAGATCGAAAGTTATGTTCAAGATAACAATTCCTTCATTTTAAGCTGCAGCGACTAACTCAATCGTTCCACTTGCACTTTTTTAATTGCGAAATTTTTAAATGATATTTTCGATCAGTAATTTGAACAATTCAATCAAACCGAAATAAATTAACGGATCTGAACAAAGTGAGTCTGAAGAATCGGTTTATCTCAAATAGTCTAGAGGATCAATGGATCTTGGATTTATCGTCCTTTTGCCGTGGCTATTTAGATGTAAATGTTCGAGTTTCCTTTTTTTCGATTTCGGTTAAATTTCTGAATTTTGACCTTTTCAATATCAATATCTTTTGAAATAAACCATAACAATCTGATGCTACATCACTGTTGTATTTAGTGAAATCAATGCTCCAAGTTGATCCACAATGGACTTAAAGTTAAATCTTTGGTATTTTCAAATCCGATAACTATTATATTTTGAGTTAATCTGATGATTCTGTTTGTCTAATTCACTTTGACTTAACCAGTACACTTTGTATATCTTTAATGGATTTAAGGAATTACTTTTTACTGTTTCTTGTTGCAGTTAAATCGCGATGTATTACGATTGAAAAAGCTGTTTTGAAGAAAAGAGAAAGCAAAGAATAAAAGAATGAAAAGAAACCTGATTTTCAAAGGTTTTTATCAAGTCAACCTCATGGGAGTCTTTTGATAATGTTTGTTTGTCTTGACAATAAATTGCAAGATTGTTGTTGTTGTTACCATTACACACTCAATTCAAGTTGATCAAGTCTCGACTCGTTGTTACTTTTACTTCATCATCACAATCTACTTTAAACATGATACAACTGCATATGAGTTTCTTGTTACTGCTTTCACCATTTACTGTTATTATTAAGACACAACAAAGACCATCAAGATTATGAAAAAAAAGTTGAATGTTACTCAGATTATTGTGGTTAACCTATTATGCCCCAAGGAACGAGAGTTTAAATAGATTGGCTCAAATGGAAAGTGAAAATCTTGAAGTAAATCAATTCAATTGCGGTTTTAATTGTGGTCCGAAAATTTTTTATGCACCTGAAATTGAGTTTATCTGGTTCATTTAAATAGTCTCGAAGTTATCACTTGTAAGTTTGAACAGATTAATAGGAACCTGTTAATGTATGGCCTGATCAAGACGGAAACGAGATGGCAAGAAAAGACTACCAATTAATATCTTGAGGAAGATTGAAACTACATGGAATGCTTGAAGATTTTTTACTTTGAATTTTGAACGAACCCATTCAACTTATCAAATGATATTGATATACTCTCAGGGGAGGTACCCGAGGCCATCCGAACCGATTTCAATGATTAGTATGTCATTGAATTCGTCTTAATAACAAACAATATAGTTCGTCGTCTTTTGAGTAGCAAATGAACAGAAGGTTCGAAAAGGTTCGCCGAGTGCATAGTTGTGTACTGACTATTTATCATGAATCACTCCTGACTTTTAGTAGCAAACTTAGATTACTTTTTCGAAATCTTTTAACAAGTTGAAAATTCAAAGTAAAAACTCTAAATGCATTCCATGTACTTTCAATCTTCCGCGAGATATTAATTGATAGCTTTGTCTTGTCATCTCGTTTCCGTCTTGATGTGACCATACATTAACCCGTTTTCTTATCTCGTTAACATGATGTTCCATCTCAATTTCGAATCAATTTAACTGTTTTTTATTTCACATTTATTTTTATGAAATTTTATTTTGCTAAAAAAGATTTCTAGTTTTCGTTGAAAGATCACTCAAGAGATTCGTTTACAATCGAAATAAGAAATCAGAACATAGCTAATAAAAAGAAAATAGTGATAAGCCATATTGAGATTGGCTGGAATTATCGAGCATTACCAACAATGTTCACACTGTTCATATCAATTCAAATGGATCTTTATGTACGTTCAGTTAACCCAAGCTTTTTGGTAGAAATTTTTGACGGTATAAGTTATTGAAATGTCACAGCATCAACCGATTCGAAAAAGTTTGCCATTTCAGAAAAAGAGATTCAGAAGTCAATAAGAGGTCAATGACCTTGAATGTCATTGAGATTATGATTTATGATTCTTCAATTTGCGAAATTCTGCTGACTGAATATTATAAAAATCAAAAGTTATAAGTAGTATATATTATATACAATTATATACAATGTATAATACTTACAGTGATCACTCAGAAAATGCACATAAATTTTTCAATGGTCCCTTCTGAGGAGAGGTTAAGATAAATTTCGATTTTGTCAAATTTAATTTCACTTTATCTCGTTTTCGATGAGCTTAATTCAACTTTTGTTCGTGAAAGTTTGATCAAGAAACTCCAGAAATCAATTTAAAATGAAACTCTGGATAAAACTAGTTCTATTAAGTGAGATTGAAAATCATAAAATTGACTAATCAATAAATAGTGATAATAAGCTACAGTGTATTATATTTCCGCAGTGGTACATTTTCTGAGTGATCGCTGCATACAGTGCGAAGCATATAAAGTAAGGTACCAGTAATTGCGACTAAATTCATGTGCAGCCCATACAAAAGTGTTATTTTTTGTTTTCATTTTAATGAAAGAGATTCTGTCCGTGAAATTGCTTTTTTGTTTTTTCAAGAAAGTCAAAATTACTGATACTTCACTGTATTAGAATTTCAACTTTGAAACCGAGTCTAAATCAACAAAGAACTTATATTGAACTATTTAAAATAAAATAAGACTGCTAATCTTATGCTAATAATCAAATTTTATTGACATGAATGCTTTGAGAAATAATTCAGTAGCAAACGCAAGTTTTACCGGCTTCATTAGTGTACTTTGTGTACGCAGCTGATGAACCAGAACCTTGTCCTGATGAACCTGATGAAGCTGCTGCTGATGATCCTGAACCTGATCCTGATGATGCTGAGTTAGGTGAGTTACTGGTTGATGTTGTTGTTGTTGTTTTTGTTGGTCCTGATGATGAATCTGAAGCTGATGCTGCTGATGCTGCTGCTGATGATGATCCTGATCCAGTATTTGATGCTGGTGCAGGTGCAGATGATGAGTCTGAAGCTGCTGCTGCTGAACTTGATGCTGCTGATCCTGAAGCTGCTGATCCTGATGAACCTGAACCAGATGATCCTGAACCTGATGAACCAGATCCTGATGAACCAGATCCTTGTCCTGATGAACCTGAGCCAGATGATCCTGAACCTGAAGCTGCTGCTGCTCCTGATGAAGCTGCTGCTGATGATGATGATGCTGAGTTAGGTGAGTTACTGGTTGATGTTGTTGTTGTTGTTTTTTTTGTTGGTCCTGATGATGAATCTGAAGCTGATGCTGCTGATGCTGCTGCTGCTGAACTTGAAGCTGCTGATGATGATCCTGATCCAGTATTTGATGCTGGGTGCAGGTGCAGATGATGAGTCTGAAGCTGCTGCTGCTGAACTTGATGCTGCTGATCCTGAAGCTGCTGATCCTGATGAACCTGAACCAGATGATCCTGAGCCTGATGAACCAGATCCTTGTCCTGATGAACCTGAGCCAGATGATCCTGAACCTAAAGCTGCTGCTGCTCCTGATGAAGCTGCTGCTGATG